CCTTTTCTCCTCCTGCCTTTAGCTGGGTCTGTTTGTTATTCTCCCTACTTATCTCTCTGCCTGCCTCTCACACGCCATTATCACCCGTTTTTTTCTCACGTCCTCACATTTCCTCTACCTCACTCCTTCTCCATCCTCTTGTCTGCTTTATCCATCTGTCCCATCCTCCTCTAGATCCTCTATTTAAGATAACACGGTATTGATCCCCGTGGGGTGGGGATTTCAAACATCGCAGCAGCTGAGGAAGAATCTGTGTACATATAGGGTGCAAAAATGAGAGGATAAAATAAAATGACACAGGATGAAGTGATACAAAAATAAATAGAAAGCACATATGCGAGTGTAATGTTTAAACTGGATTAAGAGGGAAGAGAGAGTGAATTCACCCACTCTCGGTGCCAGTCTAAATTTAGACGAGCAAAACCCTCATAGGATCCGTCGTCTTAATCAAAGAGCGGCACCGACCTTCACAACACTCCAACTCCCTGCTGGAAACAATAAGCTAACACTGGGCCCCATCTCGTCCCAATATCTGGTTCCCGTCTGCGGTTTTGCCTTGTCCTTGGAGGAAGCCCGACGAAGATGGGAAAAAGTTTCGCAGCGCTCCCTCCGAACCTGCCCTTATTCATTCATGCATGAGCTTGTATTTGTTTGAGAGCGTCGTATAGGACGAGGGAGCGAGTTGTTGTTTCCTTCCAAGTTTGTTTCACGACTTTTATCTCAGAGTATGTATGTCATCGGAGCCGTCACAAAGCTCATCTCCGTGGGTGTTGGTATGTGTCAGCTCTTTGGTATCCGTGCCCATGTGAAGTGAAAACGTCCTTGATGGTGATGTGCGTGAGTGACTCCCCCTGCTTTCATGAATCATCCGTGCTGCTGTTTACAGAGCGGCACACAGACACAAAAGCTACGGAGGCATGTCATGTTTATTTGAAAGCTGCAGTATAAAGAACCATTATGTAAAACTACACCTGTTTAATTTGGTGCTAATTACGAGGTAAAGCTGCAAGAGAGAAGTGAATCATCCCCATAATTTAGATGCTGTTGTTTCACCCCCTGAATGAAGTTTTTGATGGATATGATGATGGCAATAACAGGTAATGCTTTTCAAAACAATGTACAGTGGTAATGCAGAATTTGGAATGTTTTGATTAATCACTGATTGGGTTGATTGTAATGATCAATGCATTGTCGGATTTTGTGGTTCCCAAAACGGGGGTCGGGACCCTTGAGGTGATTTCTAGAAATCAAACAAAATGTTAAAACTTTTAGAATATAGCAGATTTTAACAAAAATATTTTTAAAATATGGTGAAAATTATTTTTTGTTGTACTTTGTGGTTGTTAAAAACTTGGAGGCGTAAAATAAAAGCTGTGACGACATGACAGATCTCTGTGCTCACATATACAACCACTGACAAACCCACCACACGAGTTCAAAACAACTTTGAAAATTGAATTGAAGGTATTCATGTCTGTGTCTGGGCTGCAAGGTGGAGCGGTGGTTAGCACTGTCGCCTCATAGCTAGAAGATCCCTGGTTTACGTTGAATTAGGTTGCCTGGGATCTTTCTGCGTGGAGTTTGCACGTTCTCCCCGTGCAGCGTGGGTTCTCTGCGGGTTCTCCGGCTTCCTCCCACACAGTCCAAAAACATGTTGAGGTTAATTGGTGATTCTAAANATTTTTTGTTGTACTTTGTGGTTGTTAAAAACTTGGAGGCGTAAAATAAAAGCTGTGACCACATGACAGCTCTGTGCTCACATATACAGCCACTGACAAAACTCACCACACGAGTTCAAAACAACTGAAAATTGAATTGAAGGTATTCATGTCTGTATCTGGGCTGCAAGGCAGCTCTGTGGTTAGCACTGTCGCCTCATAGCTAGAAGATCCCTGGTTTACGTTAGATTAGTTTGCCGGGGATCTTTCTGCGTGGAGTTTGCATGTTCTCCCCGTGCAGCGTGTGTTCTCTCTGGGTTCTCCGGCTTCCTCCCACACAGTCCAAAAACATGTTGAAGTTAATTGGTGATTCTAAATTGTCCATAAGTGTAAATGTGAGTGTGCTTGGTTGTCTGTCTCTAAGTGTAGCCCTGTGATAGACTGGTGACCTGTCCAGGGTGTTCCCTGTCTTCACCCTAAGTCAGCTGGGATAGACTCCAGCCCCCCATGACCCTAATGAGGATTAAGCGGTGTATAGATAATGGATGGATGGATGTCTGTATCTGCTACAGATCCGTCAACTGTTTAGCACCATGCTGTCAATCACAGAGTCTTCTTCCTGAAGGGGGCGTGGATATTTATAGCTGAACTGTATTTCAAACTACAGGCACCAGAAGAACATCATTTAGAACACGACTGAAAACAGGGATTGCTGGTGAAATACACTATATCTGTAGTATATTGAGGTGGAAAACACATTCTGGGGACAAGTTAGATTTGCATGATTTTGCTGAATAGAGGCACAATACGGGACCTTTGTTGATGGTCACTTTGCTGTACTGCAGAGTTATATTAACACATCTGCTTCAGTGGAAAGGTTACTGGTGGCTTAAAAAGATATGACTCAGTTCTTCTCAGTAGCTATAAGACACAAATTGATTAAGTGTGTTTGAGGAGGCGTCAAACGCTTCAGGTGTGCTTGTTGTGATGTCTTGATAACGTCAGTGACGACCGGCTCTGAAGAGGCTGACCGACTGTCTTGACTGAGTGGCTCTTCTGCATTTCCTATCGACAGCCATCTCTCCAGCTCTCAGTGCCTGCTCTGTCTGCGTTAACTGATGTAGCTGTCAAGCTGGAGAAACTCCCCTCTCAAAGTCCTGCCAGCAGGGACCGGTAGAAGGGGTCAACTTGATAACACCGGTACATACACACAAAACGCACCAGAGTCTGCACCAACACCCGTCCATCATCGTGTCTGAGGATTAACTGGATGTCTGTCAAGTTGGAAATGTAACTCACTAAAGTCAGCAAACCTTCTTGATGGGAGGAGCTCTGGCATCTCCTTACACATCTGTTTCACTCTCTTCTAGATAATAAAGACACCACTTCCATTATTACTTACTTCATCTTTTTGAGTCTCAATTTCTCAACCACTCTAAAATATTTGCCAAAGCCTTTGTGCTGCCTTTTTAGGGGCGACTACGTGCTATTGAGATGCCAGTGATTCTCCCTAAAGTGTGAGCGTTCTCCTGTTTGTGCATGGGCTGAAACATGGCGGTTCATGCCTTATTTAATCTGACTTCGCTGCTGCCACATTCCCTCTGTCATTTTCTTCCACCCCCCTCCTGTCACCCTGTTTCTTCCTCTCTGTCTGTGCTTGGAGAGAGGTTGGCTTGTCTGCTGCATGGCTTAGCGTACGGGCTGCGATCTTCTCTGAAGTTTAGCATAAACCCAGATGTTAAGCCAGGCGGAGGCATTCGTAAGAGGAGGGGGGGGGTCACGGAGGAATGTTACAGCACTTGGCGAAATGTGAAATGAGGTGTTTGTGTGTGTGACTGCGGTTTCCATAATGCATGGTTCTGGTTTGGTGTCATTACATTGAATAAGTGGGTGTGTTTGCAGGCTCAAATCCTAACATGTTGGTTGTTTATCATTTTTTCACTTAGAGCAAAGCATGACTGGATATTAAACTCCAATAATAGCTGCAGGTCTTGAATTATAGCTCCCAGCAGGGTCTTACGTCTTGGTATGTTGCTCTAGAGTCCTGTGTTTAAGTGAGTACCTGGGAATATAGGGCAATAATAGGATAATCATAGCAGGAAAGATTTAGTAGAGCTCTGAGATAACACATAAGAACAATTGTGCCAACTTACCAAAAAAACATATTCCATTCAATGTTAAGGAAGGAATTATACCAAATTATTGTACTTAAATAATAAACATTGCTGAATGTTCTTTAAATCGGCTTGTGTTGGGCTTCAGCATCCGAACAGAAATGTAATTGGAACTAAATGTTCAGGGAGCAGAGGGTCTTGGGACAAACAGTGCTCTGACTCATACAACTGTCAAGCGGGAAGCCCTTGTGTTTTTTTTTTTTTTCACTCGTGAATATTTGAAGCGGTTGAATTAACATTGAACAGTTTAGGTATGAGCACATTTTCTTCACAAGTTTAAAGCGTATGTGTTCGTATAGGGTGAGCGTATGCATACATACAGTCATAAAGACACAAACACACATTCAGACACAGTCTCTCTGTTACATGAAACGTCCTCACAGGCCACCCAAACCTTGCTGGCTTGCCTCGGTAAACCCCTGTCCCATTACCATGCATTATGCATGGCTCTATCTCTTAAGTCCCACAAATGTAAAAGCTTCCCTTGAAATAGAAGAAGTTATGCTGTCACAGTGTAGCTTGTCACAGTGACGTTTTAAATACGTAGAAGCTTGCTGTTTCATATAACTGTGTTAGAATTAAGAGTACGTTTCCAGTAATGGTTATTTGTGTGGGATTTTGAGCAGTACGCATCACATATACAGTAACATATAACACATCTGTAGCAGTTTTTATTTTATATATGTTTTTAAGGAATTCATAGCAGTTATTAGGGATTCATGATATTGATGTGGTGACCACGTCGGTATCAGCCGATATTAGTGTTATTTCCAATATATCTGTATCGGTCTGATAAACAAATTTAGCTGATGTGAAGAACTGATGATTGTTTAACATAAGTGCCTTCGTCTCTACATTTGATATTGCTGCTATTTCACTGATGTTTTTACTTGAATGTTCCTGGACTTGAACGTTAAAGATGTTTAAATATGTTTTATTTTTGTTACATAATAAAGAAGACTGTGTGGTCTAATTTGGTATGGGCTGCTTTTGAATAGTTTCTCACAGTGCTTGCTTATACTCATTTTTCGGTGTGAACAAAAATTGAATATCGGTAATATCGGTTATCGGTGATATCAGTTGTCTTAATATTGGGTATCGGCCAGAAATTTTAATATCATGCATTACTAGTAATTGTTAACAATCTTTTCTTATCCTTGTTTTACAGAAAGAATGGCTTTGCCTCAACTGTCAGACCCAAAGAGCCATGTCAGGCCAGCTGGGAGACATGCCGCCTCCATCCATGGCGTCCCCAAAGAAGCAACCACCTGCTCCTGCTCCTGCTCCTGCTCCCTCCTCCTCCCCTGCCCCTGCTGCTGTAGATAGCAAACCTGTAGTAGAAGCAGCAGATCTACCCCCACCAGCCTCTGAGGCCAAGGTAGTACCTTCAACTGTTCCCACAACCACACCCGATAGCGCATTAACTTCACCTGATCATAGCACCCCTCCTCCTGAGGATAGCCCACAGGAAACACAGCAGTCAACAGAGCAAAAACAACCACTAGCAGATGAATCAGTGTCTGTAATTCATCCTGAGCAAGAGGCTCCGATTTTAGAGGGTTTAGCTGAAAGTATTCCAGCAGTCCCACCAGTTGAGCAAGAGCAGAGCAGCTCTGAGAAAATAGCAGAGGACCATCCTCACCCCGAGACACAGCCATCTGATTCTGATCAACAAATGCAAAGCGCAACTGTCAGTGAAATCCCAGCAGTTGAGCAACAACAGGAGGTAGCAGAGGGCAACCCTCAGCCTGATACAGAGATATCTAATGTAGAGCAACAAGCGCAGAGTGCACTTGAGGGTGAAATCCCAGCAGTTGAGCAACAACAAAAGGTAGCAGAGGACCATCCACCCCCTGATATACAGGCAGCCGATTCTGATCAACAAATGCAAAGTGCAACTGTCAGTGAAATCCCAGCAGCTGAGCAACAACAAAAAGAAGCAGAGGACCATCCTCACCCTGATATACAGGCACCTGATTCTGATCAACAAATGCAAACTGTAACTGTCAGTGAAATCCCAGCAGTTGAGCAACAACAAAAAGTAGCAGAGGACCATCCTCACCCCGATACAGAAACATCTAATGCTGAGCAACAAGCACAGAGTGCACTTGACGGTGAAATCTCAGCAGTTCAGCAACAACAGAGTAGCTCTGAGAATGTGACAGAGAACCTTTCTGTGTCTGTGGAAGGTGAGATGCAAAATCTGTTGACTAATACAGGTTTAGACAAGACATCAGTCCCTGCAGAGGTAGAAACTGAGCCAAATCCCAAGATTACTCAGAGTGAGGCTGCAGCTCCCCAGACAGATAATGAGAAAGTGGAGCCCGCTCCAGAAAAGCTTCCAGAAGTGACAACAAATTCAGTTGAGCCAAAGCCTACCTTGATCCCCGAAGCAGTCGCACAAGACACAGGCCCTGTTACCACAGATTCTGCAGCTACAGATGTAAAAGAGGAGAAAGTGGTAGAGGTCACAGCTGAGAAACCCCCAATAGATGAACCCCAACATACTCCAGCAGATGAAACGCCACCAAATACAGTAGACACAGCTGTTAATGAGGACAAGGCAGACATTACTACAAAACCTGAGCCTGATAGTGTAACACCTAATGTGGAGAGTAATGGTACAGCAGAAATAATAACAAAAGCAGAACCAATAGCTCCTGCAGCCCCTGTTGACAAAGCGGATGTCCCTATACCTGACAAACCCCAGCAAGAATTAAACTCAGAACCAGAAAAGTGTGTAGAATCTGAAAGTCCTATAGTAGAGTCAGAAAAACCTCCTGTGTCCGCTTCAGAGGAGAAAAGTCAGGCAAATGAAGTGGAAAACAAACCCACAGAAAAAGAAAAAGAACCTTCTCCAGCCAATATGGCAGATAATTCAAGTCCTGTTGCCCCACTTGAAGAAGAAACTAAAGCTCTAGAAAAAGCAAACGAGGAGAAAGCTGTTGAGGATAAAGTTGCTCCGAATGTTATTAATAATGAAGAAATAGCTAAGCAGATAATACCTGGGAGGGCTGATGAGGAAGCATCAGTTGAGGTGAAAACAAACACAGCTGCAGAGGGGGTTACTGAGGTAAAAGCTGACACAGGGAAAGCTTCTGAAGAAGAGGCAACTGAAAAGAAAACAGTTGAGACGGCAAATGACCAGAAACCTCTGGAGGAGACGGTTAATAAAGCAGAATCAAGCCCAGCACTCAGCTGCACTGAAACAGAGAGCAGTTGTCTTGTAATAGAGAAAAAGGAATCAGAAACAGCAGGAGAGCCAGCTCCAGCTGTCCCTGAGGAAATGCCAAAAGAAGAAATAGAGATAAATAAAGAGATAGAACCAGGGACAAAGTGTGAGCCTGCTGGGGAAAGCCTTGTTGAGACAGTATCAGCGTCAGAGAAGTCAGAGGAGAAAGAGAAGCCTGTGATCGAAGCGAAAAGTGTATCAGAGAAAGAGGAAAAGCAGACACCTGAAGACACAATGTCAAAAGCAGATGATGAATCTGACAAAGCAAAGGGTATCTCTGCTCCTCCATCTCCCGACTCTGAGGAACAAGAACAGGTCAATGTCAAGGTGCCAGTGCAGAGCGCAGAGGTGTCATCCTCCGCTATTATTAGTGAAGTCAGCGATAAAACCTGCGAGGAGAAAGTCCTCCAGGATGAGACAGAAGCTGCTTCACAAACGACAAGCGCTAATGCAGAAAATCAACCCGAGGTGGAGGGAGAGACGTCAGCCGTGACAGGCACCGATGAAAAACAGCCAGAGAAAGTTGCTGAGCTGTCAATCAAAGAGGAGGAAGCAAAACAGGACAAAAAAGAAGATGAGTCACAACCTGTTGCTGGCAACATCCAGGAAACTATTTCAGTATCAGAGGCAGTGTGTGACAAAGATGGCACTGCAGAGCTTGATGTAGGAGAGAGCACAAGATCAAAGAAGGATGAAGTATCAGAAGCAGCTTCTGAAAACGGAGGTGTTCCCGTATCAGTAGCTTCAGTCCCTGTAGCAGAACCTGAAACCCCGGTCTCTGTAGGTAGTGAGCAGGAAGAAGCCCCAAAGGAGATGAACATGGAGGAGAAAAAGGAGGCTGAAGCTCAGCCTCAGAAAAAGCTCAGTGATGAAGCTGCTGTCTCTGAGGTGACTGTAGAATTTAGCACATGTGGTTTGGATTATAGCAATATCCTTGGGCTTCATTTATTTGCTTTACTTCAGAATTATTAAACAGATTTAGGTACTTAGATTTAGACACACATGGAGATTACTTAAATGAAAATAGCAAACTAAATATTGTACTTGCCTGACGAATGATGTCTAAACACTGCAATATACATTTGAATGATATGACAGACTGTATGTATCACATTCCTAGAAAGTAGAACTGTATGTAGTAACTGTACTGCCCCTTACTCTGACAACATCAGTGGGTTTTTAAAAAATAAACTAAATTAATTAGCTTAGCATTTCTTAGATTATTTTGTTTTTAAAAAATACACCACATTAGTTTATTGAAGTCATTACAATTTCAGAAGTTTTGTTTTCATCGCCATTTAAATTAGGGGTCAGAAACAAATGCAGAAAAGTTCTCTTTTAATTAACCATGTGTACACCATAAATAATCAAGGGTGTTGTTAGAGAGATTTTTAGAGAGCATTTACAGCAAATGTACGTCAATGACTAACTTGCCTCCTTGATTACGAATAATCAGTATTAACACCCACAATAAAAGAAAAAAGATATGGTAATTTTTTATTGCAATAATAATAAAAAATGTTGTTGTCTTTTTATCCATCAGGTGAAAACAGTGGAGATGTTGAAAGAGCCTGCAGTGAAAGAAGTGGCTGCTAAAGAGGGCAGTCCCACCAGTCCATCAGACCTAGCAAAGCTAGAGAGCACCGTCCTTCCCATTCTGGAGGCCCAGGCAAGCACGAAAGAAGAGGAGAAACAAACAGACACTCTCAAGACCAGACGTAAATTAGAGGTCCTTCCGCTCTCACCTGACTCACCTAGCTCAGAAGAGGACAGAGAACTTTCTGAGAAGAATGCCAAAGGTACCACAAAGAAAAAGCTCCTTGTGCCCATGGATGTCAGGGCGGATTCCCTGGATGATAGCAGTGAAAGCTTTGGAAAGGAAAGCCCAATGTCAGGAGATGATGAGGATTTTATCAGAAAACAAATAATAGAAATGAGTGAGAATGAGGATGCTTCACCATCTGATGAGGAAAACCTAGTCCGGCGAAAAATCAGAGAGAATGAGAAAAAACACATGGAACAGAAGAAAACAGAGACTGTAGAAAAGAGCACATCGGGAAAAGTCAGACGACTTACCAAGAAAACCACAATAAGTCCAGATGATGACGATAAGGAACTCAGCACGACACTGGATAAACCCATTATAGACAAGGAGGAGGGACAACAAGGAAAAGAAAAGGAGCATCAAAGTGGTACTGCAGTTCGCAAATTCCAAACCATGGAGCTGAATGCAACCAGCAGCCCTATGCGTATACCCAATGATGATGGTGAGCCTGAAATGGAAAGTCTGACAGACTCTCCAGATGATCGGTCTAGAGGTGAGGGGTCATCCAGTCTGCATGCATCCAGCTTCACTCCTGGAACATCCCCAACATCCCTCTCATCACTGGATGAAGACAGTGACAGTAGTAGTCCGAGCCATATCCGTTCTGGTGAGGGTAAACAACACAGGAAAGCCAAACACAGACAACCCGGTCAAACGTTGCCAACTATTGAAGACTCCTCTGAGGAAGAAGAAATGCGGGAAGAAGAGGAGCTGCTCAGGGAGCAAGAAAAACAGAAGGGCTCAGGGAAAAAATCCAAGAAAGACAAAGAGGAGATTAGAGCCCAGAGAAGGCGAGAGCGTCCAAAGACACCACCAAGCAACCTTTCTCCTATTGAAGATGCCTCACCAACTGAAGAGCTGAGGCAAGAAGCTGAAATGGAGGAGATCAGGCGATCATCCTGCTCAGACTTCTCCCCCAGTATTGAATCAGATCCTGAAGGGTTTGAAGTCCATGCTGCAAAGATTGCAGCAGTCCAGAAAACATACCAACTGCCTACATCAGTATCTCTTCACTCCCCAACAGATGATCAAAACAATGATACACCACAGAAACAACCTCTCAAATCTGCTGATGAAGCTTATGAAGAAATAATGCTGAGGGCCAAGTCACCAACAGTTGACAAAGGTGAGATTCAACCAGGAAAAGAGTCCCTTTATGGAGGCATGCTTATTGAAGACTATGCCTATTCATCTCTTATTGACAATTCAACAGCTGATCTGGGGGAGCCAGAGAAGATTACTGTTCCTGTGCAGCCCAAAAAGCTGAGATCACCAGATGAAGTTTATGAAGACATGATAAAAAAGAGGAAGGAATTCATGCAGCTGGAGCAGGAATACCAAAATATGCAGCCAAAGAAGGAAAGTACACCCCCAGAAATTGTTCTGCAACCTGCTGAGACTATCATCTCCAAAAGCAGTACAATAACATTAGGCAAAGATGGCAAGCCATTGTTGGATGCTGAAGCAGCCTATGAAGAGCTAATGAAACGAGTCCTGACTCCTGGAACAAGTCCAACTCAGCAGGAGCCAGAAGTGGATGTTGCTGCGTCGAGGAGGGCACTCCACCCTATCCCAGACTTAAAAGTGACGCAGTGCTCTTCAGGAGAGCTGTCGTCTGATGATGAGAGTATAATTAAAAAGGAAGAGGAGACAGCAGCAACTGAAATGGAGCCTGTGAAAGAGATCTCTGAGCCTCCTCTATCAACCACATCAGATCAGCAACCTCATACCACAATCACTGCATCCCAGGCTGATGCTGTAGACTTATCTGGTGCCCTTGCAAAAACATCAGCCCCTGTGATTGCAGTATCACCCTTGCCCACAGTCCCCCAGTACACACCCAGTATACCCAGTGTAGTGTCAACTGCCCCACCTGTGCCCCCTAAGCCAAATGTCCTGCGTAGGGCTAATTCTCAGGAAAAAGCAGAAGAACCTGTTGCACCACCACTGCCTCCTCCTCCCCCACCAAAACCTACTGTATTTCCCAGGAAAGCTCCAGTTCCACTTCCACCTCAGGCTTCAGCAACTCCAATAAGGCCAGAGATAGTGGCTGTGACAACGACGCAAGGACCACCTACAAGACAAGTAGTTACTCCAACATACAAACCTCACATTCCTCCACCTGTTCCCCCAAAGCCCTCCATTCCTGCTGGGATTGGGGACAGCCACAGACCAGGACATGGTGTCAAACCACCAATTGCACCAAAACCTGGCTCACAGCCCTCTTCACCTGCCCATGCCCCACATCCACCAAGGCCCACTGTACTTCCCACAAATTCTCATGAGATAGCCCTGAACCTGAGCCCCTCATCTGAGAGCAAACCATTTCAACCCTCACCAAAGTCTCCTTCTTCTCCAAGATATGCCAGCAATCTACGTGACACGTACGTAGTTATCACACTGCCATCTCAGCCTAGCTCTCCAGTAGACAGTGTCACAACTCAAGCTCCCTCTAGCCCAGGCCCAGCATCTCCTTCACGCCAGCCTAAGCCTGAGAGTTATCACCAACCACCGCCTCAACCTCAGTCATATTCACAGCAGCATCAACAACCAACCCCTCCTCAAACAACCAGGGTTCCTCTGGCATACACACGAGTAACAGAATCCATTGAAAGTCAAGAGATATGTGGCCCAGAAAAGCACGTATCTAGTTCTTGTCATATCATTGAGGCTATATCTGCCTCAGCTCAGGCACCTGTGGTTATGCCGAACCTCATCTCTCAAGTGGTTACCACAGAAGTCCAAAGGACCACTGTCTCTGTTGTTCATGAAAGGACACCACCACCAGTGCCAGCTCCAAGGGCAAATGGTGTTCCAATCTCGATGGAGAAACCTAAGCCACAGTTGCAAGCACAGAATGGACAGGTCTTCCAACCTTCTGAGGTGGTAGATCTTAGGACTATGAAGGTGGATCCAGGATCAAACATGAATGGTGTGGATTTGTCTGCTGGCCCAGACTCAAGACGTCAGTCTTTTGCAAGTGATGTCAGTCGTCACAACAGTGCAGTGCAGTCACCTGTGGTCAACCTTAGTGCTGAATCATCCACTGTTTCTATAGTGACGGATAGCATCACCATTGTGACTTGTTCTGCCACAATACAGCAAAGTGACAGTGTAGACACCTGTCAGGCATCTTCAGTGCCCCTTCAGCTAACAAAGAATAAGGCCTTTGAACCAGTTTCTCAAATTATATATCGGCCAATTGACTCTCAGCCCTCTACTCATGCTACGACAGAGATACCTATTAACCTCTCAGTTGGATCAAGCACAGGTGGAGGAACTTTCCAGACCATCCCTGTCACTATTGCACCGACTTCTGTTGCAAATTGTGTCGCCAATGGGTTGCATACAGGTACAACCACAGTGGCAGGAGCTGTTGACCTCAGCACAACAAAACCCTTCAACACTGTGGTATCGGTGGATGCTGCGTCTGCAGAAGTGGTCACAGCTGTAATCACAGATGATGGCAAACCAGTAGATCTAACAGCAGGAAAAAGAGCTGTATGCTGTGATGTTGTGTACAAGCTTCCATTTGCAGGAAGTTGCACGACTCAGCAACCTACTACACCTCTGCCCGAAGATCGTTTTGGATATCGTGATGACCATTATCAGTATGACCGATCATCTTATGGCATGAGAGGGTTTGGAGGGATAAAACCATCAATGTCAGACACTAATTTAGCAGAAGCTGGCCTGTTCTTTTACAAGAGTAAGAACAGCTATAACTTCAGTGGCACGACAGAGGGTGCAGTAGATCTTACCTCAGCAAAGATTTCTGATGCAGGTCAGTGCAGTGACATTGCAGACCTGTCACTTAAATGTCACTTTGAACTGCCTCCACTCATTCATGGCTAATGTGGCATATTTTTTGGTTTGTTTTGCTTTTATTTTGCATGGACATTTTTTTGTTTTATTTTTCTTTTTTTCATTATGAGATTTTTGCATGTGCCTGCATGCTGTTATGCTTGTTGCACCTCAGTATTGGATTTTTCCCCTTGTTCCACGTTTTTCATAATTTGGATAAGGCATGGCTTGCTTCAACATTAAATAAGTCTGCAATATGGGACTGAACTGATATTTTTGACTTTTGACAGGTGAAGCTGTTGACTACTCCAGGAAAGGGGCTTACGCAGGAATGACTATTCCACCTTATTCTCAAGCCAGAGTCACAAGTGCTGCTGGTACACTCTTTGGTACAAGTAGCGTTTTAAGGTCATCAAATGGAGTGGTCTATTCCTCTGTTGCAGCACCAATTCCATCTACATATGCCATTACTACCCAGCCTGGGTCCATATTTAGTACAACATACAACACCCTGTCAGGTATGCACACCAGCGACACCATGCCTTCCCTGTCCAACCTACAAAACTTGCCACTTACACGGTCCCACAGTTTTCTGTCGACTATTTCCACTGCTGAAACAGAAGAACAAGGAGATTCCCCACTCAATCTAGAGATGTCTAGAAGGAGTGCATCTGTGGATGCTGCCACTACTGCTGCAACCTCTTTATCCCTTGACTACACTGATGCATCCCTGGAGGCCATAGCTGCTTCACTGGAGGCTCTGTCTTCACCCATGGTTCCTGGGGATGGCCAGTATCAGGCAGAGCGTGAAAGGCTCGAAATGGAGAAACTCAAGCAACAGCGCCTGGCTGAGGAATTAGAATGGGAGCGGCAGGAGATTCAGCGATTCCGTGAACAAGAGCAGCTCCTGGTACAGAAGGAACTGGAGGAGCTGCAGACCATGAAGCAACAGATACTGGCCCAACAAGAAGAGGAAAGACAAGCTCACCTTATGATGCAGAAAGAAACCTATGCTCAGCAACAGCAGCAGCTTGAGCAAATTCAGAGACTTCAAGAGCAACTCCGTCTGCAACTGGAAGAGCAAAAGCTTCGTCAGATGTATCCTGGTGGGGACATACCAGGGCATGGTGTGCAGGAGGCAGTTGTCTTAGGACCTGATGGTACAGTACTAGCCCGAAAGATCACAGATAGTGGGTGCCAAACAGATGAAGAGGATGAAGCAGTCAGCAAAGCTTACACAGCAGGTAGAAAAAAGAGAAGTGCTAAAAAGAGTGTTGACAGTTGTGTGCAGACTGATGATGAGGATCAAGACGAATGGGAGGCCCAGACCAGAAGCCGACAAAGCCGGCCACGTACTGCCAGGGGTGATCGAGGTGGGCAGTCAGAGATGTCTCTTCAAGCCCACACTGAGATTTCTATACAAACAGATACAGAGGGGAACATTAGAATGGACACCAGGATGGAGCTGTCAGACTCTGAAAGGACATCGCCAAAGAAACGACCTACTCCCCTAGAAATAGGTCAGTCTCCTAACCTCAAAGCTGATTCTTCTACACTTCAAGCCCATCCCAAATCCCCCAAAGTACTCTATTCTCCCATATCCCCCTGTATGTCACCAAGTAAATCCCTTGAGTTTGTGTCCTATGATAAATCCCTAGGTGATACAAGCCCACAAAAGCTAAGAGGAAGTACGGATCCATCAAAAGCCTCTCCAGCAAGTCCCAGAGGGCCAAAATCCATGCAAAGATCCATGTCTGACCCTAAGCCCATGAGTCCAACAGGAGAAGAAAGAGCAACATCCGGCACCCAGTATGGTGACAGTGTAAGTACTATCAATTTATACAAGTATCACTTTCTTTAGGTATGTAAAAAAAAGATGCACAAAACAAAAACATTGGTTTATTTTTATTTTCAAAAGATGAAGATGTGATTTGTGTTTAAACTTTTCTTTTTTTTTTCTGAAAATGTTTAAAATGTATTTAGATGTTTCTGAAGAGGTGTTTCCAGCTTGAGCCCATTTCTTGATAAAATACCGTGGGGTATGGAAGTCAGTTTTCTGCCTGAGCAATTCACCGTTGAGAATCTCATACATACATAAACAGATGGGAAACAAGCTGAGCTTGCATGAAAATACTGAGCTGTCAGAGATCCATAGAGGCTTAATGTGAATAAATTACTTCTTTTTAGACTAAAAGGTGGAACTTTGTAAGTAGGCTCTAATACTTACATAGTTTATTGAGACCCAGAAAGGGTGGTCAATAAACTGTATTTTCTAATAACCTTATAGACACACATACTACAATACACCATGTGGTCTTTTTAATTTTACAACATAAATGAATTCATATAAAATTAGAACAAGTATCTCAAGTTAATTTTATCTGACTAATGTGGTACAACAACAATAATTTTTCAGATTCTGAGGATTACGCACCCAGGAACCCAGGACTTCAGTTCCTCCAGTACTAATATTTTTTTACTTACAGGGGAAAGGCTCAGGTGGTACGCCAACAGGCACTCAAAAGAAGGTGAAGAGGACTCTCCCAAATCCACCATCAGAAGATGAGTCAACCACCACTGGCCAGACAGCATACAGCACCGGTTCTGCCCGCCGAAGAATGTGCCGTAACTCCAACATGGCACGCGCAAAGATCCTGCAAGACATTGATCGTGAGCTAGATCTGGTGGAGCGTGAGTCCTCCAAGCTCCGCAAAAGACAAGCAGAATTAGATGAGGAGGAGAAAGAGATCGATGCCAAGCTTAGGTACTTGGAAATGGGCATTAATCGTAGAAAAGATGCGCTACTGAAGGAGAGAGAGAAGAGAGAAAGAGCCTACCTACAGAGTGTTGCAGAGGACAGAGACTACATGTCAGACAGTGAAGTCAGCAATATCCGAGAGACTAGAGGTGGACGTGGAGGTGGTGAAGATGAGGAGATTGAAGATCATGGTCTTGAACGTCCCAGGACAGCTCCTCAGTCAGAATTGGATGACTTTGTCCCACCTCAAACCAAGCATGAATATGGCAAATACTCTCAGTACCAATACCCTCAAAGCCAATACCAGCAGTCTCTCTACCAGACTCCCCAGTCCTACCAGTCCCATTCAATCTACTCCTCTGTCCCGTCACTCACTAGCTCCCAGCAGCAGAGTTACCACCAGATGCTTTTGTTGCAGCAGAAAGCTGCTAGACAAGCTGCCCTCCTCTCAGAGCTGGATGCAACTAAATATGATGTCATTAGCCGTCAGCCTGATCCCACATCATCACCTTACCTGGGTGTCAAGTATGACAAATATGGCAATCACCTTGACCTCAGAGCCTTGGAGGTGGGAAGTATTGCAAGTAGCCCAATGTCAACTGTCTCTGATTCCTACTACACAGATGTAGATCACCACACACCTCGGAGTTACATGCTGCTGGAAGATGCTGCAGAACTAGCTAAGGGCTCCACAGGATTGTCTTCATCTTATAGTCTGGCTGAGAGGGAACTGGCTAAAGCAGAGAAGTTGTTGCGTAGAAGTGCTGCAGATCTAGGATCTACTGACTATCTGGGGTCCACCTCTAGACTCCATACTTTTGGAAAGACCCCTGACGAAGAGGATACAATGGAGGAACCCTATGAACTGAAACTTCTCAAACAACAGCTCAAGCAAGAGTTTAGGAGAAGCACAGGTGGAACAGAAAACTTAGAACAACTCACAGGTCTCTCTCAGCACTACTATACGCCAAGCTCTGGAATATCTAGTTACTCCCAAAGACACTACCCAAAGTCAGAAAAGTACAGCATCAGTCGACTTACTCTTGAGAAGCAGGCAGCTAAACAACTCCCAGCATCTATGTTGTACCAAAAACACAAAACCCCACTCCTAGATCCTAAAATCTCCTCCAAGTATTCCTCTATGACAGACAGCAGAGCTTTGGAGACAGACTATAGCTATCTTGGGTCTACCAGTGCATCCCCAAGATCCAGCCGGCTTATGCAGGATGAGATTACCTTTGGCCTTCGTAAGAATATTGCAGAGCAACAGAAGTACCTTGGGTCTACTTTGGGTGCCAACTTGGCGGGGTCACTAAACTTAGGCCAGAGCTTGGGTTTGGACTCTGCTTATCCTAGTGGTAGCCGCTCAAGACCCTCATCCAGGCCCACATCTTGCTATGGCTTGGACTTGTCTATCAAAAGGGACCCTTCCAGCTCTTCACTGAGGCTTAAAGGAGATGGAGAAGCATCTGGAGACGGACCAAGTTATCAAACCCCATCTGGTCGTACCAAACCCACTAGCCTTCCCATTGTGCAAAGTGGACGTGGCCGAATTCCAATAGTGGCCCAGAACTCAGAAGAAGAAAGTCCACTGAGCCCCGTTGGGCAGCCTATGGGCATGGCCCGTGCATCAGCGGGACCTCTGCCCCCCATCTCAGCTGATTCAAGGGACCAATTTGGTTCTTGTCTGTCCTTGCAAGACTCCCAGCAGTCGCAACATATCAGGGAAGAGCCAACCAGGGGTAGGGGTTATGTGCTGCTGGATGACCTTCAGGGCACCATGTCAGATAGTGAAGGTAAAAAACAGACTTGTCAAACTGTTATTCTTTTCATATTTAATGTTTCATCACAAAGAGGTTTGGTTTATGGTGTATCTTGCATGCAGTCCGTACTAATGTGGATAGCATTTAGTTTGTGTTCATTAATTCAAACTCTGCATGAGTCTGTTAAGATTGTGTTTGTGTTTTTTTTATGTGTCAATCTTAATTTTGGTGAATGTATTTTCTTTTTATTTTGTGTCGTACATGGGGTCGATGTATTAAGATCTGGTGTGCATGCATGTCTTTGTACGTTTTACTCGAAATCCTATCAGCTTGAATGTATGTCTGCATGCACTGTGTTTCCATCTGCATTCCAGATATTGCGTAAGATTTTCCTATACTAGTTCACTGCATGACACTGTACACTTTAACTTTGTGTTTCCGCTATATTATGTGGTACGCTTCCTCCAAATAGTTGCTCACTTATAGCAGTCCGCATTTTATTTCGAGCATGTTGTCATTTGTGGCTGTTTCAGCTCTCAGAGAAGATTTTCACAGCTTTCAAATCCTGCTTGTTAAGCATGCAAGGCTTAGATAGAGCTCTGTAAGCCTAGGTCAGATGCAAAAACTTTCTCCCAAAAATGATTCACAAAAAAGTGCCTCTGCCACTTGCAAAATTTACCTAATTGGTTCAGTATTTAGTCAATTCAGACAATTCACTTAAAATTTTTCTTCAAAATGAGATTATATTGTCTATCATAATGTAGCCATTAGTAAATGAAATATATTGTTGGATAGTTCATGTGTAATATGGATAGGAGATATTGTTGGTGTATTTCATAATCATGTTTAAGGTTCTAATTTATTTTGTGGGTTAAAATTTTACAAGACTAAACTATAGTCTAGATCAGAATGTTACCACAATATGAGATTCCTAGAAATAATACTTTAACAGCAGGTCGCTGTTGTCAGAGTAAAGAACCTTGATTATTCTTTGAAATGCACGATATTTGGTTGCAACACATCTGTGTGTAATAAATATAAAACTTTACCTTGCATGTCTTGTCTTGAATGTTTGGTTTTGTGTATTGTGATACATCAGTGACTTTATGTTGCATGAAATACATTTATGCCATTTAATCTTTCCAAGCGGTTACTTTTTACTGCATTTTCCTAAAGGTATCACTGCCTCACTTTAATCACAATGAATATGCACCATTAGTATGGCCCACTGCTTTATACATTTTTGATTTAAAAAACATGCAAAACAGGAAATATTCCAGTTTAAAAAAATCAATTAGGCAAGACTACCACTGAAAGTCTTGTTGTTTAAGTTAACATTTTCCAAAACTCTATTCATTATTTATTTCTCTCTACATTTTATATTACTGAAAGTATATCAGCTGTCATTACTAACCCAGATTAGTAAAATACCTGAATTCTGTTACAACAAGAAAAGAGAAAAACCAAAAGAACATGAATAAATGTAGAGATGTTGTCTGGAACTAAACCGTATTATATTATCTCATGTGTTTTAAAATGTGCATACTTAGAACAGCATGGAACTGGTCAGTTCCCAAGCAGAGGACAGTGCTCGAATGACACAGGATGAAAAAAATGAAAGTACCATTGTTTATCTTTCTGGTTTAAATGTTTAAAAATGCCACTTCTGAGTTGTTTTCAGTATAGCATAACTACATGTTATTAGCGTCATATGAATCCCATTATTGTGCAAAGTAAACCCATTTGCCTTGATTCCAGCCCTAAGTGATTCCCTGATGGCTTTGAACAGAGACGATGCAACCAATGGTAGAGTATTAGTTCAGTTCTCAAGTTATCCATTAGCTAATACATTAACCTGCACCACGAACAAACTGCACGCCACCATGAAACAATAACAAAATGTTGGGGGAGGATTAAGACATTTGTAAAATGGCAAAAAAAAAAAAAAAAAGCCACTTAAGGTTGAATTTAAACCTCATTTCCTGATGTTATATGAATTTTTATAAATGTCTTATGATGCCATACATATGTTTTGAAAGAAGCTCATCCCCAATTAAGGAATAAAGATATATGCATATGTATACGCAACATTTACATTCACAGAAAATGATCACACCATATGATTAGATCACACTACGAAACTTCACTGTACTAATACTGTTTTATTCACCCTCAGATTGCTTTTTTTCTGCTTTATTCACAAGTCCTGTGATAATGTTGTGTTGCTTGGCATCCTTTTCCTATCTGACTTGGAAAAAGTGAAATAATAAATCTGTTTTTAGTTTGGCCCTTGTGCCTTCTGCATAATGTTTATCCTCATCTATAATTAGCTTTTACTTTTCGCAGATGCAGTTTTGCTTAATGGCATGTAATCATTAAATAACCTGACCACACATCCTCTCCAGCAGGATGCACAGGTCACAGATTTTCAGACTGGTTTTGAAACGGTGCTTGTTTTTGTCCCTGAAGCCTACCACCTTAGACGAGAAGAGACAGACTGGTTTGACAAACCAAGAGACGGACGGTCAGAGAACGGACAGGAGAAGAGACAGGTGAAACAGGAGAAAACATGCACACACATACACTTCAGTAAAGTCCCCAGATGTATACCAAGTGCAAGCAGTAACGAAATGCATCCACCCACACTCAGTCACCTGGATATGTATATGTGGTATGTATGCACGAGGCGCTTGACATCTCACCATTGTGTATGGGTAACAGGGAAAAGGTCCATACTACCCCTTCCCTCATCTCAGGGTCAAACTGCAGAGGGATCCCAAAGACCGCAGTGTCTCAGGTAAAGTACCACACTTTACTACAGCTAACTCCATTAACAGCTGCAGCATGCTACGTTTAGGAATGATAGGCATTTGGAAAGACATGTATTACAAGCTAATGTGTTATTGACTGCTGTGCATGCATTTATATGTATTGTGCCCGTTGCATCAAATGTGCACTTTTTGCAGCATAGACATAGTTTTCCTTTGAATAAAATAGTCAAGATTATTTAGAAAGCATAAAGGAAGTAAAATGCACACATTAATGAGGACCTTATTATTTAGATGCATGACTAGTACGCTTCACGCATTTTATTTTCTTGATTCTCCTGCCAGATTCCAACAAAACTGGCAAGTCGCTTCCCCTGCTATTACGTTCCATCACACCATTCCTCGAGGCTCAAAGCAGGCAGACATTTCATTTCCTGGCTTCCCTTTTGATTTGGCTCTTCTCCACACTCATCAGTCATTGCCATGCTCAAAATGGCGTATCCCTCACACTCAGGATTATCTTATGCAATTAACAAACAGCCCACAAAGGAAGAATTTTTGCTTACGAGTGCCCGGTGCTGAACTGAGTCATTTTGTTCTCGCTTCCAAAACCACGTCAAAATGTTTCATACTGTAAAACAAGCAAGGTTCAGGTGCTATGCAGGCCTGTTTGTGCGGAGGGACGATTAACACAGAGGTTTGCATGTGTGCTGGTGACTTTATTGTTCCACAAAGGTACCGAGGCATTGAGAAAGTGGTTGACAAGCAAACTGAGCAACAGGTTGCAAATCCTTAATATTTATGCCTGCGTGCTGCCATATAACCTACTAAAATTGGCTTTGAATGAAATTCTGACAAAAACAAACTACTTACAGACAAGCTGGTTCTTCAAACTTACTTCCACATATTTAGAAATGTGATTTAAGTAACCACGCAAGTACTTAAAAGATAAGATGACACTACTCTGCTAAGCTAGCAACCTTAACCTGGACTTTAGTTGTGTTTTCTCATCATTATGGCTGTAGTTCTGAACTCATTTAGTTATTTAAAACAATTAATTGAAATACTAAAATGGTGGTTGATAGAAGTAGAAATAGTTCGAGTAAATGTTAAAGCTGTGGAAGAATTAGCAAGTACATTAAGTTTAAATTTTAGGGTTAGCTTATAGCTTTCACATGCTACACCTCTCTTGCTTTAGCTAATTAGCTAATTTTATATGCTATCTCTTGGAAATTACACATTAATTCATAATAAATAATAATAATAATACTTCATAATAATTGTAGTATGATGAATCTAATGAAAAAAAAAAAGTTGTGGCTTAATGCAGTTTTGACTAAACCGGTTGTTAGCGCTTTACTCTGTAGGGCAGTATTCTATGTCAAACTGTTTCTTCTTCTATGACCGTTGTGGTGAGTGTGCTTGTGTGCGTCATGTCATACAAATACAAGCAGGTATTTAACGTTAATGTTAGAGATTCTGAAGTAATTATTAATTCATAAAGCCCCTTACCAAGTCTTCATTTTTGGACTAAAACAGGAAATGGTCTGGGTATCCGAGTGGTTGGAGGCAAGGAGGTGCCTGGCAGTAATGGAGACATTGGAGCCTATGTTGCCAAAGTCCTACCTGGTGGAGCTGCAGAACAAACAGGGAAGGTACTCGAAGGTAAGATCATTTACTGAATTAACCCTCCCTTGGTGCAAACACGAGGTTCCAGTCAACTGAAATTGTAAGCATAAAGACATTTTTAACAAATTCATAGGGCTGGTCCGAATAGCAATTTCTGGGCTCCGGCTATTTGAGCCCATTTAATGACGAATATTCAAATATTTGGTCTGACCGGGGGAAGGTTTGTGAGGGTGCGCACTCCGACTGGGTGGGACGCACAGGCAGTACTTGGCTACTAGTACCAGTTTAGGATGGCGGTCGCAGTTCTGTTTCCACCATCGGCGGGTCAGGATGGCAGGCGAATATTCGGATATCAAAATTGCTATCCAGATACCACCACAACCACCGAATATTCAGATATGCAGATCCAGCCCTACAGATTTGTTGTCAGTTCATGTCTATCTATGCTGGGTCCGATTTGGTGAAATTCCATTTTTATTATATTTTGTGGATGTTGTTAACTTGAAGGTTTAATGTAAAAGCAGTTAAAATGGGATTGTTTCTGCCATACTAATATTTAATGGCAACATCCCCACAGGAACAGGAAAATCCTGAGTGTTAGCATGCTGTTCAGCTAAGGTGGCTAATGGTACCATCAGCTTTCATTGTAGGTCAGAGCTCTGCTGACACTGTAAAGCTGAGGGATATTTAAACATGGTAGAAGCTTTATGAGCGATTTAAAACCAATAAACTAAGACTGGTTGGGTTGCTGTTTTCATGTCGACTGTTGTTCTTCAGTGTAACATAAATTTGACCAGTGTTTACATTTGTTTTCTTCGCTCTTGCTCTCTGTGAGATACTGTTCTGTTTCTTTCGCCAAAAAGCAGAACAAGTATGAAAAAGCATCAGAAACTCTAAGGTTGTGTCCAAAATCATCCACCAAAATATTCCTTGTAGATTCTTGAATATGTATGTTTGTGGCCATTCACAGCTGATAGGCTGACAGAATTGAAAATGCAGTCAGAGTGAAAGAAACAGGGCCATGACAAAAATAGGTCTTAATTTGCGTTTAGTTTTATCACCTCCCGGCGATAGGTCGTGGCCATGAGAACTGAAAACCAAAATAATAAACCTATGAGTTAGCATTTCTGTTTTTAATAACATTAAGTATATTCACTAACCTTCTGATTAATTCTAATAGAGATACAGCCTCATTTTTATGCCATGAGGAAATTGTCTAAATCACCACGATTAATGTATTCTCTGATGACTGTTCGACCGAAATGCAAAGTTCCACTACTTGTGTTTCATATAGGTGGAAGCTGCAGCAGCTGCGGTTTTTTGCTATTTCAACAAATAGCCATTATGCACTAACCCCCAGATGTATGACCTGTGATTTCATCCGTACACACCTCTCACTGACACCACCTGAGGATGAATTGCTTGCGTGGTATATTAACAGGAACACATTTCATGAGGTGTTATTGATTTCATATGGGGGAGTCTGGTAACAGTTAACCCCTTCACCTTCGTACTCCATCTGGCTGCTCATTGTCGCATTGAAGGTGTCGGGCAACTGTGGCCTGAGCCTGTTCAAAGCTGCCAAATGGGTGATGTGTGGACAGTGAGAGAAACTGTTTCACCCACTTTGAGTCTAAATAGTGTGTGTGTGTGTGATCCATCTCCCTGTTCGCTGCAGACGTGTGGACGGGCGTTTGAGCGTGGCTCCTTTCTGTTCCTGTGTGTGTCCTCTTCTGTTTCCTTTTTAACTTACTGCATGACTGGTTTTCTTTTCTGTTTCTCTCTCTCCACTTCTAAAAAGGAAACTGTGTCATGAGAAGATAAAGATAACAAAGTAACCTGAACTTTTGTGGATGTGGGGTTGGATTTTTTTTTTTTTTCTTGCAGAAAGTTACTAGAAAAAATTACTATCAATAAAATATTGGAAAACATGAATACTTTATTATAAAGTGAAAATAAGTTCAGATCACATAAAAACAGCCTACGGAGCTGTGGTTGTGCATTTGTGGGTCAGTCATTTGAAACAGTGGTGTTTTGATAAAATGTTCACAGTGACAAATAAAGATTAAAGATCAAGTTTAATTTATTATAATGCAACACATGATTTCCATATTAGCTGTACTTCCAAAACAATTACTGGCAGAATAAATAATCAAGTAATAAAAAGGAAGTTATTTTTGTGTTGGAACGTGGTGGATAAATTCAGTAATCTCACAGCCTGAGGAAAGAAACTGGTTTGACGTCCAGCAGATATTTTTGTACCTCTTGCCAGATGGCAGCAGGGTGAGCAGGCTGTGACTGGGTTGGTATTGTCTGTTGAGTTTCCTTTGGGCTCTCTGCAGACGCCTCATCTCTCCGATGTACCTGATGCTCGGTAGATGGGCACCGGCGATGTTCTGGGAGGCTTTAGTCACCTGCTGCAGAGCATTCTTTACTCACTTACCAGCTTGTGATGCTTCAATTAAGGACTTAGGAATATTTTTCTCAAGTGCAGTTGTTTCTGAGATTTCTTCACTATAGGGTGGAGATGTGTGATGGCCAAGGCAGGATCTCTGTATTATTGATTACAAAAAATGATGCAAATATGGTGTTTTTTAGCCGGTGTAGTGCTTAGAGTCGTTTATTAACACTAGCTGCACAACAAAGGTAATGCCAGTGGTGTAGCTAAAGGAACAAAGCCAATATTTCAAAATGAAAAAGCTTCTGAAAAACCATTAAACTTGATCTTTATCTGAAAATCCAGCCACATTTCCACATCTACTCAGGCTTTTAATAATACAATTCAAAGGGCAACTCTTCCCCCCTAAACACATGACAGATTTATATTTCGCTATCCATCGTTGTCCAGCCTTTTCTATGCTTGTCTCATGTATTTTAATCCACCACACAGAAGTCTGTGGTATAGGCCGTCCCCTGTCGGTGATAGCTTCAGTCCAAGAGTCAAGACGCATCTGTGGTGTTGTTAGCCACAAGTACAACTCAACCATGACAACATCCAAGATAAACAACAAGTACTGTGGTTCTGCCAGCGGGAACACGGCACTTCACTCGCTCTGGTGTGAATGTGGAGGAATGTTGTCAGATTCGAGAGGCGCAGAGGCTTCGTGTCACAGAGGGACAGAAACAGAGTGTGCATTAATGTGTGCTTGTTTGTCCGATCGCCGAAATTCAACTTTCAAAGGCCACACCGATCGGATGAATAATTTTGAAACCACAGTCCATGTCTCACTCACACATGCAGCCCGAGAGTATCGTCGCAAACAGAAGACCCTCTTGATGAGCTGTTTCAATCCGTGTAAGTCCTGCCGGTGTGCAGGGTGTGTTTTTGCAGTGGGTTTGCTGTGCTGAATGGATTCCCGTACGAGCTTTCACTGCTGAAATAAATCTAAATAAATGGTCAGCCCCTCTCTCGGAGACATTTGTCATCGCTTGAGTAGATAGGACAAAAACGTATCTGATTGGATTTTGCGTTCTTTCCAGGCCTTAATGCATCATGTTTGAAATGTTTTGCTGCAAATTACACTTTTATACATGAAATAACACGAGGCCATTTTTGGGTTCATTTTTACCCTGTTTTGTGGCTGAGCGCTCCAATGAGCCGCTTTGTTGCACAGCTGCTGTTTGGGCTGCCACCGGCATTTATCTCTCCAGTTCTGGCTTGCAGTGTGATGCCCGTGTCAGCTGTGCAAGAATCAAAGCTTGCTCACTGTGTGTTTAACCAAAGAATGGATGTTAAACATTGAACTGGTCCCACATTCTGGCCACCATGCACGACCTGATCCCTTTCATCACTTAAAGAGCTTCTTAATTCTAGCTTTGATTCCTTTTTGGGTTTGAAGTGAAATGTTTGTAATGTACTACATATGAAAAAAAAATCTGGACACGATACAGTACTATGTTTCTGGTTGTTTTACTGTGAATCTGTGCAAATCCTCTTTAGGAATGCAAGTCCTGGAGTGGAATGGTGTTCTTCTGACGGGGAAGACCTATGAAGAGGTACAAGGGCTCGTCGGACAGCCGTGTAATGAGGCAGAAGTGTGTGTCAGACTGTGAGTATAACCTTTACCTTTCTCTGCTGCAGTTGTTCTAAGCGTGCTATTCTTCTTGTTCCACCCTGTTGTTTTATTTTCATCTTCATTTCATCTCCCAAACACATCTACGATCCATCTTTTTGACCTCTTTCTAATCAAATCCTTTTTTAACTGATCTGCCTCTTTATCTCCTTAATGTCCTCATCCACTCTTCTCGCTTTTTTTTCCAATCACTGTCATGACTGATTTCCCATTTCAAATATTTAAAAGCAAGTCATGGTTTGCTAGCTTTGCTGTTCTTTATTCAGTTTATTATTATCAGTCCTATTTTTGTGCCAACGACAGCTGTGGCCGGAGGCGCTACAGTATGTTTTCGGGTTGTCTGTCAGTCAGGCCGTCCGGCTGTCCCATTCTCTTCAGTGCAATTTCTCAGAAACATATTTAGGGAATTTCTTCTAGTTTGGCACAAATGTGTACGTGAACTCCAAGATTAACTGATTAAATTTTGGTGGTTAAAGATCAAATGTCTCGGTTACCTTATGCCCATCCCATTGTTTGGAAAGCGATGCACCAGGGAATTTCTTTAGATTCACACACAAACGTCCATTTGGACTCAAGAATGAACTGATTAGAATTTATTGTTCAGGAGCAACCTGATATTCAAGGGTTTAGGGTACACATGACTTGCACGCAAACACCCCGAGCAATACTTTGGTTTGATTCCAGGTGGGGGACCTTTTGCTGCATGTCATTCCCTCGACTCTCCCCACATTTCTTTTGAAACAAAATAAAGGGCATTACAAAACCAAAGAAAGAATTTAGTGGTCAAAGGCCATTGTGATCTCACAAAGCATGTTTTTGGCCATGACTCAAGAATTAATACACTAATTGGGGCAAACTTTGTCAAAAATGTCCAATGGGATACAATGATTAAGTGATGACACGTTGTATCCGAAGGACAAACTCACTGTGGCATCATAATGTTCTGCAAAAAACACTTTTCTGGTCATTATTTAGCACCATAAGGGGAGATTGTGGCGTATTTGGTTGGATACTGAGCTGGTGACACTAATGTCGGGCGCTACACTTTGAAACAAGTGATTGTATAGATCTTCGGGTTGTTGGCATGTATGAGGCATTTGTGTTTTAGAAGTTGTAGCTTCTTTGCAGCAGCTTCTATATTTGAAATACCGTCTACTGTGAAGATAACAGGAATTTCAAACTCTCAAACTTCTAACTGGAAGTTATTCACAGGAATCATTCAATCTCATTCATTCATTCATTCATCCATTCATTCAGTGATAACTTTCATTTTTCCTAAAAATACACCTAATGCCTTCTATAAAATTACTTCAAAGTCTTCCTTATATATTGTACATTATGAGTCTGGACAGACGGATGTAAACTGAACAGCAACTGTTTGGTAAAGGCTCACAACCACAAGGCGATAAATCTAGTTTTTATCTAAAAACATGGTTATTCTGGCTTTTTTACTTTATTCTGTTCAGAGTTAAATGAAACTGAATTTTCCCATCTTTCAGTGATCTCAACATGCTCGCTGAGTCTGAGGGTTCCCAGCACCTGGACTTCCAGGAGCACAGCAAAGGTGAGTTACAGTGTTTTTTTGTTTTTTTATATAATTATAGCCCTAACATGCCGATTTTACTGATTCTTCCCCAGCACCATCCCCGCCTCCTCAGTATTTTCTAATTAACCTTTTGTCTCTCGCAATTTTCAGACTCTCTTCTAGTATCACTCTATATCTACGGCTGTCTTTTTTTTCTGGTTCAGCCATGCGTTAGTTGTGGCCTATTTCCTCTCGTGTTACGCAGAACCATTCTGGGAACATTAGATTGTCTTTTTCAAAGGCTTCAAATCATGTGGTGCCTTAATGTTTAGCTTGAGGTTTTCTTTTCGTGATTTTTGTTGTCTCTTCCTTTTTTAAAAGAATGTGACCTAGAAGTTAAAGAAACAGACTAGTGGCCAAAAAACTGACGGTTTAAAACCCCAGCTGGAAAATGTCAGGCATATTTAATCAACTGTTCTTTGTTGGAACTGAAAAATTGGATGTGCCATTGTCTGCCTGTATAGGTTGAAGTAGGTATGATAATCATGATCTGAGCCAACTGCTGCATGTGTGAATCTTGTAGGTGACAGACCTCCCAGGTCTCCAGGTGTTGATCCCAAACAGCTGGCGGCTGAGCTGCAGAAAGTGTCACAGCAGCAGGCTCCCTTGTCCTCTTCGACCTCCAGCCTGCCCGCCACCACCTCAGCGACCTCGAGTCCCGGTCAGCCTGGATCCCCCTCCGTCGGCAAGAAGCGCCACAGCAGCAAGGCGAGTCCAGGAGGGTTTCGTTAAACAGAGCATAGAATTGTTGAGTTGAGATTTACCATGGTCACCTTTTAAAAGTGGATTGTTTTGGTCACAGATTCTACATGTGACTTTAATGTTAGTACCATTAACCCTCTAAAGTTGTGAAATGGAGGTTTAAAAGGCATGCTATCTTTACAAAAAAACAACAAAGAACCATCAAAATGACACTAATTATCAGCCCAAAGCTACAACAGCAGAGAATCAAATTTTCAACTTTCAGACAATCTATGAGCAACTCTTCTTGTATTGTGTCATTCCAGCTGAAATAGTAACCAAATCTAAGCTTAAAGCCGCGATTTTTCTTTAAAATCATTACATTCTACATCTCATTTACAAATTTATGGGGAAAAAAATTGTTTGTTCGAGTCGAATTCTGAAATAAACAAAAACTCCATCTGTACAGCCGTGAAACCATTACTGACTCAGTTGTGAGCCACAGTCATATGACAAAAATGTGGAAACTTTTCGACTGAACTGCAGACTGTGTTTATGAGTATTAATTAAAAATGTAAATTGTAAAATATCTGTAATATGTAGAGCCACTACAGTTTCACAGTCTTGATAACACTTGTTGGAAACACAGCCATGGTTGTGCTGTTTTCATAGAGGTACAGGACTGTATTCTATATTATATTATAGAGAAAACATTGCAGTGAGTCCAGAAGGGATGAAAAATAGGACAGGAGCAAAAATATAAAATAAAATACCCCCAAACTACTTGGGGTTAAGAGTGTAAAGCAATTCCACAGAGAAACAAATTATCAGTGCAGTATAGAGATCTGCCATCCGTAAGGGTTCAACTAAATGTTTTTCATAAATGACTTGAAGACAGGAGGAAAGAATATGCACAAACTGCTGTATCTCAAAGATCACAGCAGGGTTCAGATATAACCAAGTTTAAGCATATAATCTGTAGAACATAGTAAGGTAACAGTTTTAGCAGCCCATATTCATCCAAAACGAATACAGAAACAGATGCACAGATTGCACAGAGTTGAATTTAAAGTTTCGCCTCAAGCGCTGCATAAAGTACAGCACAGCCCAGTACGTAGTGTGCAGAATGAACGCCTACCAGTACAAACAAAGTATCCACCCACAGATCTTTGCTGGAAGTATCTAAGCTTGTTGCTTTCGTCTCTTGCAGACTTCAGAGGGAGCGAAGACCCAGTCCCACCCCATCTCTGGAGAGATACAGGTCTGTGCCGCGAAAACAGTGAACTCTGTAATCTTTAGGTATAAAAGTCGGATGTAAGAGTTGCTACAAATTTAGACGTAGGAGTACAGACGAAAAGACAACACAAACCGGCTTCTTAGTTTTCTTACATTCTCTCTCACCCCGAATGCATTTGAATCCATTGTAATCCGTTTCTTTCCACAGCTTCAAATCCACTATGACAAGCAGCTCGGCAACTTGATTGTTCACGTGCTGCAGGCCAGAAACCTCGCCCCGCGGGACAACAATGGCTACTCCGATCCATTTGTTAAAGTGTATCTCCTGCCGGGGAGAGGGTGAGTCAGGAGCGTGGAAACTGTAAGCTCACCTTAAGTAGTTCAGAGCAGGAACAAGGTTAGCGTAGGACACATGATACGAAATGTATATGTAAGTATGCAAATTGTGTTGATTTAAAGAGATGTAGGTGTGTAAGATGTGATCTGTTGAAATCATGTACTGTCTTTTTCAACCAGATTTACTCATCTAGGCTACTCAGGCAGCCTGTTGGTTAAGCTCAAACCTGATCTCCATTCATTTTAAAATCGATTTACAATTGATTTTGGCTTACCATGACATCTTTCAATGTGCAGCACATGGCCTTTATTTAATATCAGTTCCATAGCACCGACACACAACTACACAACAGGTCCATCAAATGGTTTATAATGTAGCTCCAAGGGCTTCATTTTGGAATGAACTCCTTGTTACAGGACCCATCTGCCCCTTATCGCTGCCGAATGACATAAACACTATGTAAATAATATGAGCTCCATAGAGTATTTGTGTCGGCCCCGTTGATGGGTGTCCTACTGCAGGTGTGAGTGCAGTCAAAATCAATAGCTCTCATATTTACTTGCAATACGATCCACACGCCCTCGTAAGTCCAGAGCTCCCTTCGCACTGTGATTGCGCTGTAATGCAATTGACTCTCCCACCTTCTCTTCAGTATGAGATGAGGTCCCCCGAGAGAGTGTTTTTTTTTTTCCCCTTTTTTTCCAGGAATCATTTCAGATAAAAAGCAATAATATGTGGCTGTGGGCTTTTCAGCCACCATTCTGACAGGATTTTAGTTTGACATAGATGCAAATACTACTGTGAGTTCTAGACAGGGATCGGGGCTATACTAAAGAGAGAATGGCAGCCCTAAAGCCACCTCACAGAAATTGGTTATGGAAACATGCACACTGAAGCGCATGTGTGCACATACCCGTGTATACGCTGCATGCGCATACATGGACTCTCACAGCTATCAGCACCGACTGCAATCCATACAACAGAGGCTTTTCAGTTGCATCACAGATCTCCTGGCAACCACGTGGAGCTCCTGCAGCGGCTGAAAACAATGGCTTAATACACAGGTAGAATTATGCCTTCTCTAGGCTGCTGACCTAGAATTACTCACAATACCTGCCTTTTGTGTAGGTTTACAAAGACTTTTACATGCATGTTTGCGGAGGAGTTTCATTAATTACGGTGCATTTGTGTCCACATTTCGATTGTTGCTCTGCAGGAATCTGTCAATCAGATCTCTGCAACTTGATAAGATGATGTGTTAACCCTTGGATTGTTTAGCTGTTAAAAAGTAACTGTCCTAGACATGTAGTAGTATGAGGTAATAGTTATTTCATAGCCAAGAATATATATAGATAACCAATAAATTAAATTTTGTGTTTGAATCTAATCTTAATGTTCACTCTGGCCCCTGAGTGGTAGATCTCCACTACGGTTGCCAAAGGATGCACAACACGACCTGAAAGTCCTCTCAGCACACATACTGTACATGCAGTTCATGAAACACTACAGCACACCACAGTTCCCAGCTTTACCCCCACCCCTCCCCGTTCCCACACACACACAATTAATAAATCACACACTAAACCTAATTTTACAGCCAAATCTCCCCTTCCCACTTATGCACTCACAGTCCACAGACACTCTCTGACCCCCCCACATTCCCTCTGACTATTGTTTCTGTATGTTGTTCTCTATATTTAATGCATGCTGGACCCCCTCAGTCAGGTCATGGTTGTCCAGAACGCCAGGTATGTGACTTGCCCACTTTGGCACTTTGGTTCTGTTTTGGTTGCAAATTGGTTGTCAGTTTGGTCAAGGTAACAAAACGGCCTGATTGGAAGCTCATTAATTAAAAACCAACTAGTTCAGGCCTACTAACTCCCTTCACCCTGGAACAACTGTGCATTTTCCGCTAGTCCCCATGTTCTCATGATGTTCCCTTCAACTTTAGGAGTGTCATTGCATTGTGTTTAGGAGGAGACAAACCCCTAATTATTAATACCTTACCATCTTTTTAACTTAAACAAATGGTCCCCTGTGGTCGTTTCTCAGCTAACTGTTGCCTTTTCCTGGTAGATGGTCTGTCTTTGTTCCTAACCATTGTAATTTGAAACCCTAACATTGAACCTGACACCCTTTAGTTTGTCCCTGTTTTGTGATTAAAACCCCTCAGTAACGTCCTACATTGTGCCCCGGCATCGTACCGCACCCTCAGTGCCCTTCCACATCCAATACACACTCTTGTTATTTTGCTCTGCAGTCCTTATTCATGCCATCGTTGTCCAGTATAGAGTCGATTGTTCTTTGTCTTTTCCAAACTAACTCTTACAGACTTAATCATGTCCTAAAATCTTAAATCAAACCCCACACACTGCAAAAAACATCCATCCTAACAAGTCATTCATTCTATTCCAGTAAGTTTTCTGAGATGTATAATGTTTTTCTTTAGCAAACGCCAGTTATTTTTTGTAATGTGGTGGTTGGCAGACCCAATTGAGTTACTGGCTATTTTTTTTTTTTAGTGGCATCTAGTTGCCGTTTTTCAACACCAAAATTGGATGAGACTAAATGACTTGATGGACATCAAAATGGACTTTTTTGCAGCACACCCTGACATCGTACCCTGCCGTCCATGCACGTAGGCCCATACATTGTTCCCATCCAAACAATGTGCATCACATTCATCCTCTTCCCTCTACTGTCACATTGTGCCCTATTCCAGTATCTTGTGCTCACTACAGTGTGGTGGTCCACTAACCTGCAGGGCATTTGCGTGCACGTTGACCAGGTGTATATTGTTCTGATGTGTTCCCCCCCCAGTGCTGAAAACAAGAGGAAGTCCAAACACGCAGGCAAGAGTCTCAACCCTGAGTGGAACCAGACTGTCATCTATAAGAACATCCACCTGGAGCAGGTACTGTGTGTGGTCAGAATACAAGTGCAGTTTGAGGCATCGTGGCACACATGCAACATCATCTTTGTTAGCAATACCAAGCATGGTTGTGGAGCAGCGTCTCTCCTGTCACACTGAAATATCTCAACAACTACAGACTGGAGTGCTATGAAATATTCTACCGACATTCATGGTTCCCGCAGGACAAATCCGACAAATCTTAGTGACCCTCTGACTTTTCATTTAGTGCTACCATGAGGTTGAAATCTGAGGTTTAGAGTGAACTGTCTTAACAACTACTCAGTGGAGTGCCATTAAATTTTCTACAGATGTTCAAGGTCCTAAGTGGACAACTTGTAATGACTTTGGTGATCCCCTGAGTGTGCTTTTAGTGCCAGCAGCAGGTCAAAGCTTACATTTTGTACATGGCTCTCAGATAATGACAACATGAGGTTGCCATTATTGGCCCCCATAGGAAAATCTTTCAACTTTTGAATGGGTCACCGTAAAATACACACACACATGGTCTTTATCTGTACATATGATGATCTAGCACCATCACCAGGGCAACATTTTAGTTCAGTTGTTTGGCTTATGACCAAATACAAACTAGTTATCAATTTGCACGCTAATCTAAGCTGATGAGCATGGTCAGCATTAAATGTGTGTATCTTCTAAGCATCACCATACGAGTGCTGATGTCTTGAGCATGTTGGAGCATTTCAGTCAAAGCACTGTTGGGTCAAAGTACAGACTCACTGTGCCATTAGCATGACTGTTAGACATGTTACATGCACTAAGCAGCTTGTAAACCAACATTATGAACCCTGAATCAAATTACATCCAAACGGTTTGAGTCATTTAAAGTCTGTGTTTTATTATTGTGACAAAATGACATGTGTACTAGACTTTATATGCTCCACAACAGAGTCAATATGTGAAGAAACTCACGAGAGAAAACTCAATTTATCAAGTTTCATATTAAAGTGACACAAAAACACAAAACAAAATTGTATTTTTCCACTGCTGGCATGCAAACTGTCATTGTGGCCATTGATTTATCAGCAGAGCAGATGGACAAGCCACTGGGATTTGATTATATCATTTTAGATCCCATTTTTAGATTAACTGGGACTTTATCAGTCACAGTAAACTTTGCAACTTGTTTTGTCTTTTATTTTTTAGCTTTCTGAATGTTTTAATCTGCTTTAACTTGCAGGCCAGATCATATCTTTGCCATATTTTGTTGTGCCCTCAGGCAACATAAGTGACTATAAAGACACATTAACTCTTATACTATGTGTGCGTTCCAGCTGAGGAAGAAGACTCTGGAAGTGAGTGTCTGGGACTACGACAAATGCTCCTCTAATGATTTCTTAGGAGAGGTAAACTCCTTTCACAGTTTCTGTTTTTGCTATCAATCAATCAAATTTTGATCTGCATTTGTTAAACTGCTGTGTTGGTTTCCAGGTCCTTATCGACCTGTCCAACACCGCCCAGCTGGACAACATCCCGCGATGGCTGCCCTTGAAGGAGCAGAGTGAGGGGGACCACCACAGACGCTCCCACTCAGGCCAGGGCAGACACGGTTCCTCTAAACCCTCCTCACAGCACTCCTCCCCCAAAACCACTGCCTCCTCGCATGATAATCAGGATTCCCCAAAATCGTCTGTCATCAAGAGCCGAAGCCACGGGATCTTTCCAGATCCGGCCAAGGGTAGGACACGATGAGCTCCCCTCACCCGCTTGACCCAATCACCATCATCCCCTAACACCTCTCTGTACTCTGTTGCTCCTCTGCTGTTCCTCTTTCCCTCCTCTCTGTGCTCTGTTCTCTCTTGTTTTCACTTCTCTTCTCTTTTTTTACGCTCTTCCTGTCTCTGCTCGTCTCTCTCAGTGTCTCTGACCACCTGTTTCTCTCTTGGCGATCTTGCCACCTGTACTACCATCACCTTCCTCTTGCCATTTTTGCACCCATTGTAGCTTCTGCTTCATGCTTTTTGCTTTCTCGTGGTCTGTTTTCTTGGTTGCCATGATGTCACCCAGCTCAGAGGCCTAGCCTTAGCTTCCCTCTATCTTTCTTCTAACACAGAGGGCAACAGGGCCGTGGAAGGCTTTGAATGATTCCCTAATTTAGAAAAATAAACATCAAATTTAATGAGGATTCTACCGTAGATTTAAAAAGGCAGTTACCATGCTGGCTAGATTCTCACTAGCCAGCAACTCATTCACCACAGGTGGTACACAATAAGTAACAGCCTGTAAGTTCACAAAAGTAAAAGATAGCTTTTTTGGTAATTTGGTGAATCTGGTTGTTTTAGACACGCAGGTGCCCACTATCGAGAAATCTCACAGTAGTCCTGGCACATCGAAGCCTTCCCCGTCCGAGGGCCAGAGCCAAAGCCACAGCCACGGACACAGCCAACACTCTCGCTCGCACGGCACTTCACGCTCCAGCAAAAGCGCCGCACGGCAACACCATCAGGACAGCAGCAATGGAAGCAGCAGAGGCGCTGCCGTAGCAACGGGCGATGCCCAACAGCAGTCACAGCAGCAACCGCCACAACGCCTCCAACCAAGTAAACCAAGACGCAAATAAAGCCCACGCAGCATGGCCTCCTCGCACTCATCTGTTCTACCTTCTCCTGAGTTCTTTAGTTTCTGTTCCTTTGGTTTCCTTTTCTATTCTTAGTTTCCCTTCACCTCTTACAACCTCCGGTCCTCTCCCCCTGCCGTGTTCACAGTGTGTCAACCTCTCATCGCTTCTCTTCTGTATGTATTCACAAGTGTCTAGAGCCAGCACCTCACCTGTACTGTAGCACACCGTCTTTGACTTTCCTAAGTTTTACCTCCTTTAATGAACCCAAAGAGGCGTAATGGTTGCTTATAAAAGGCCAGTTCCAGCTATGTCATTTTGTTTAACCACTAAATATATCAAACAGGCTATAAATTGCAATTTCTAAAGCTACTTTAATGTAGAGCTAAACAGAAAAAACTACATTCAGCTCGACTGAAGTTAGGTTCTGATGATTTCAACAATACTTAGGATGAGTCGAAATACAACAGTATAAAAAACAATTTTAAAGAAATGTAAGAGAAAAAGCAGGAGATATTCTAAAAGAAGCTAATCCACACAGTCTGCAAAATTCACGCCAGAGCACAGTGACATTTTCAGCTTTCCCAACTGACAAGAACAGCAAATTATAAACTTTGTTGCTACATAAAAGGTCAGTTAATAGAGAAGAGTTAATTGGGAACATGTTTCTGTTTCTGTGGTTTCCGCCGTGAGCCAGCGGTTTAATGTTTTGGATTGATTAATCCAACTTTAAAAACAGAAGAAAGCTGCAGTCCCGCTCCCCTCCCTAAGATATCATTAACCTCTTTTGGTATTTTTATGATTTCATTTTTTGGAGTTATTTATGATTTCCTTTTTTTTTGTTTTGTTAAAAAACAAAGTCCAGCTTTTCTGAAGCTCCTCCACTGAGATGGCTGTGCATGCAGTCTGCCACACCCCCCCTCCCCTCCTTTTTTTTAATTTTTATTTGAACAACTACCGGATCCACAATGCACCTCAGTAGATGCTGCACACCCCGCCCCTTAGTCATATGCGGGAGGGGCACATGTGCACTGCACACTGTGGCTGCATGTGATTGACAGTCAAACTGGTTGCCATGGTGAAGATAAACCGCTCTCTGAATCTCCATCTCGCTCCTCCCTCCTTCCATCTTGAACTTCGACCCCATGACCTTTGTTACCTGGCGTTGACCCCCCCCACCCACCACCACCCTACCCCCCGACATCCGACCTGTGAAAACAAACGCATCCAGGCCAAAGAGGCCGCCTCTCACTGAGGCACCAGAGACACAGCGTAGTGGGCGTGCTCACCATTCAAAGAGCCCAGTCCGACTGGCTGCCCGCCCTGCCGTCGGTCGTGTCGACCAAAGGGAGCAGAACAGACGGCAGACACTTGACCCTCAGGAAAGCCGTGTCAGAAGAGAGGCCGCAGAGCATCGGAGGTGAGAGTTTGCCCAAGAGTCTCCACTCTGTCGTGTGACTGCAGCACAGATGGAGCGAGGAGAGAAAGAGAGAGTGAGAGAAAGAGAGGATGCGATACTACTAACGCACACCTGCAGAAAGAAAGAAAGAAAGAAAGAAAGAGGGGAGTCTTACAAGCTAAAAAAAAAAAAGAAATAGGAAGTCATAGAAAGTTGCACTCAGCCACATCACCAGAGATTCATGCAGCGAGACACATTTTCTTAATGGCCGCCAACACAGTTCACTAATACCAGGAAATCAATGTCTCAAACTGTGATGCGATTCATCGAGAGTCAACACTGTGCCGCTGCCACATGTGCTGCGTCACGACTCTCCTATTGCTCCATTGAACTGCTATTAGTGAGCGTTTTGCAATCCGTCAGTGACATGGTGTTGAGGGGCCCGAAAGAAAAACGTGTCGGCATGGACCCTTTTTCTGCACCGCATCCACGCATCTTACATCATTCATACTCTATCACACTGCCTGATCAGCTGGTTGAAATCTAAAACATTTAAACTCCTCTAAAGTATTTTGCATGTAAACTGGGTTTTAAAAAAAATAACAATAATGTAAAGGCACAGTCATAAACATCCTTTAAAGTTCTCCAGATATGAAACTACGGCATATTCATGTAATTTAAGTGTTCAAACTAAGCTAGTACTGAGCTTAAGAAATACAAACACGATTGATAATTCATATAGATGACTAACAATGTCAGTAGGGTCTTTGTGCCTCTTGTTAAGTCTGCATAAACATATATATGTGATACTTCTCTGGATTTATTTGTTTTTTTTTTGTTCAACTTTATATGTGACTTATTACTGTCTTGTCTTTGTTGAGAGAAAGAGTCTAAACACACCGTTTTGTCCATACGCTTCTCGCGAGTCCTCGATGTTTGTGTGCTCTTCATTACAGTCCAGTCTTGTGTGCTTTTAAATAAGCTTCTCCTTTTGACTGTGGCATAAATTATTCGAAAATATTAAAGTTTATTATGATGGATTCTGGGTTTGCTGCAGATATTAACTAATGCTTCTTGGCCCTAGTTTTTACATTCTTGGATCCCGGCAGAGGTGCAATTTGTCTTCCTTTCTCTTTGTCGTGACGGGTGTGGTCGTATCTCTGCACAGCTCGGTCGAGCTACAGATCCAGCGATGCTCCGGTCACGGCGGCCTCACTGGACAGCGGCCTGAGCGGCAGCGCCTACAGCCTGTTGGACGAGGACGGGGAGACAAACGAGGTGGACAGTGCCATCTTCCAGGTGCCCCGATTGTGAGTCAGTTGAATTTTTTTTCCAAAATTAAGCCCATTTTTCTGACACACCTGCCACCACTGGAAACAGATAATGTCCTGCAGTGGACAAACTCTTTTTCACTTTATCATGGTCAGAAAAAAACAGATACAAGATTTATAAGTCCCTCAGTTTAGTTTTTACTTATCATTTTTCCTATTCGTAAGAAGATGACTAAGAAAACCATTTGTTTTTTATCTTTAAGGGAGTGAGGTTTATGATATTGAGCCACCACAATTCAATAGTGATGGCAAGAATACCATGTATGTCTTTGTTTAGGTAAAACACAGATGAATTGCTCTCATGCATGAACTGAACATTCATAACAGTCTACTTTTATACATGAAGTGCAGTATTCAAATTTGTGCAATAACGTCTATATTCACTGCACTCTGCACTTATACAGTGTATATGTACGAATCGCAAATATGGGGATGGGTTTGTATTTTTACTGTTTATTTCATTGTTTGTATATTTTGTATTACCGTCTCCATAAGCGCATTTGAATCTCGTGTATGCTCTATGTATACAATGACAATAAAGGAATCTAAATCTAAATTATCCTTGATGATGACGATATCAAAAAATAGCCTCGCTGTAAATATTATAGAGCCCCCCAAAATTTCTCAAATCACATTTTCAGGGGAGCTTATGTGTTATTAATGGGAGCCAGACTCCTCCTGGCTCTGCTGTACTTCACGCACACTGATACACTGTACTATCAGATGTTGTGTAGTTATATAATTTCAAGGATTTTCTCTTTTTTTCAGTGGAAAGATCCCAAATGGAACAGATGTGATGAAATCATCAATGGGACACGGTGACGCCGAAGGTCAGTCATGCATCTATTGTACAGTATGTGTGTCTTCATAGCTGTGTCAATACATGGATGTAAGATACAGTAATGCATCACATTATACATCAGTTTGAACATCACTTTAAAGAAGCTTTAGGCTCAGATGTAAGGAGTCATAAAAATTACAGCTTGATAGATTTATGTAATAATTCTAATCGCTTAAAAACATATGTTCTTTGTATGTGTATTTGACAGATTTGCTGTACGTCACTGACATCAAACATACACCCATTTACATGTGACTTCCATCAGTCTCTCTTTGCTCACTTTTCTCATTCCTCCCTCATCCTTGTGACATTATGAGTCATGTAATTATGACTAACGCAGTCGTGCCAGGATGACCTTAAAAAGCGAGACCTGAGATTTGTTATCTCACTCTCAGAATTACAGCAAAGTGTGAGACTGGAGCTTAACACATTTATATGTATTCACACCTCCACTTCATCTTTTTTATCTTTTCATCATCTGCTCCCAGTCTTTTTGTGTCAGCGTGTGTCTCTCTTGGCAACACACACACACACACATACAGGCTACAGTCGTTGTTTGCCAGGGTCTTGTTGACCCAGCTTTCACAACTGTCATTCCCATTCAGTTGCCAAGGCAACTAGAGGCTATGCAGGTCTCATCATAACTTCTCATCATCTTTGTTAAACAAATAAATGTGATTGCTTGCAGGCCATATTTGAGATCACTCATCATGCGGGTACATTTAGTGTCCAGTAGAGGGCGGACACTCTGACAGAGCTGCAGGAGGGAATAAGTCAAACAATTATGCTGCTAGGAAAACCTGGTTGAGGCTACGTTCCTCCCTCTACTTGATGTATATGCATGCCCCTGCCCTATGCTTGCATTGCCTGGACACTGTGTACCATGGCACTTTGAGGTTTGTCACAGGCTGCAAAGCTCTCACTCACCGTTGCACCCTGTATGCCAGGGTTCAGTGGCCCTCAGTGACCATGCGTAGACTCACACATTAGTATATTTGTGGGTATATATTTTTTAAAACCAGTAATTATTGTCTGCGCTCGATTGACATCCTTTTATTGACTGTCCCTGAACTCTGCAAACAGGCTTTTATGTTCTCTGCCTCTACAGCCTGGAATCACTTGCAGGCTGAACTACAGCTACAAGATCCCGACTAGGGCTTTTAAAAATGTGGTGAAGGGTCTAGAGCAGTGGTGTCAATCTCAAAAACACAGTGGGCCAAAATTTAAAACCTGAACAAAGTCGCGGGCCAACATTGAACAAATTAACCTTTTAATATGGACCGAAAAAAAATTTGCTTTAACATTGAATATGGAACAAGCAACACTTATTACCATACATTATATATAACTTAATAGTGGAGACATGCAAAATCAAATTATAAATAAAGAAACACATCAATGGCACAGTGACAGTTGTAGTGTGAAGTCGCTATGCCTACTGTCACAGAGGAGAGGGAGTTTCTGGGTCCTGTCCTGATTGATGTGCCAAAACAACAACAGGGCATTATGGGATTTGTAGTATTAGCGGTGAATGCGCTGTACAGTATAATATCCGGGGCAGCTCTAGTAGTCATTTGGTATTGTCTTGCGGGCCAAATATAATTACAAAGCGGGCCAAATTTGGCCCGCGGGCCAGAGTTTGACACCCCTGATATAGAGGCAGATTCCATTGGAGTGTGTAAATGCTTTCCTTCTTTGCCAATTAGGATTCCTCCTGTTTAGGCCTTCCTTTGCGAGTTGCTACTGCATGTTTATTGATGTATGTGCTTTTTAATGTTTGATGTGAATAACTGTAACTTGGTGCTGCCGCCGTCTTGGCCAGGGCTCCTTTGAAAAAGAGATCTTGCAATCTCAATGGGACCCACCTCGTTAAATAAAGGTTAAATAATTACTTTGATCACACTTAAAAGTTAGGTTTTTAGCTGATACACAACCTCAAACCCATGCATACACTATGCTTGACTTCATTTGTGCGTGTGTTTAGGTAAGACCCAGGTCATGGGGGAGATTAAGATCGCTCTGAAGAAGGAGATGAAGACGGAGGGTGAGCACTTGGTCCTTGAGATTCTTCAGTGTCGCAACATCACCTACAAGTTCAAGAGTCCGGACCACCTGCCTGGTAATGAAACAAATCCACCTGTGCTCACTGCCGTGCATGTTTGTACACACGGGAAAACGTACATAATGTGGTGACACACAGTAACATGCAGGACGGCTAAGGTTAGCCACAATAACTTATTCATTTATGGTGTTTTCTCCCTTCTGTCAAGCCTCTCGTTGAGGCGCTGTCATATTCAAGAAGCTAAAACGATACATATCATTTTTTACATCACAGCTGCGAAGCCCACACAAACACTTGTTTTGGCATCTGAGACACCACTAAGTGTTCGCCGGTTTTTATAGATGCAGAACAACTGGTACTTTCATTATGTTTCCCAGCCCACATTCCCTGGTAGAGTTTCTACTTCTCCAATAGTATGTACTCCACATATATATCTATTTCTACACACTTGGCTAAAAACAGCATTGACACAGGGGTGGCTCATTGATAAACATGGCTGTTAGTGTGATCTGCAAGGACTGCTACTATGACTAGCAATACATTTCAAGAACAATGTTTGAGGACAATGATGGAAAAGTGGATACAGAACTTCGATGATGCAACAGTGGTTTACAGTTAAAGACGGCTGTATGCATTATTATTTAGACGAACGTCTCTGGTGTGCACCACAAAATCAGACATCTCTCTCCCTCTGTATAACACAGATTGCTGCCCACCTCGCCTCCTCTTGTTATATTTACATCCTAATACCCAAGCTGCCTGCCACTTGTTTGATTTGCATTTGCTTCCAGATGGGACCTGCACACGCAGCTTTATTTCCATAGATAATATATGGTTGCTCTGCAGTGACTCATAACAGTAGCACTTTATTGTTATGATGGCCGTGTGAGAGTTTGAATGATTGGATGTTTCTTTTCTGCATGTCACTGACTAAAACATACCTTTTGCTTGATATGAAATTATAGTTTTCAGTGCAGTTGCAAATTAGGTGTGTGTTTTCATAATGAATGTATGAGTTCCTGCATGAAGGGTTTCATATTGTTTTATGAGCATCCTGACCAAAGGGAGAAAACAATATAGAACACATGACTGATGCAGATGGGCTACATTGGAGGATTTATTGTAAATGGTCTGCGTTAATAAAATGCCTTTTAAACCATAGCTCAGTTCTACAAAGTGCTTTACACAGTGTTCATCCATAAATACACATTCACACTCCAATGAAGCAAGAGCCGCCCATCTGTGGGCTGAAAAAAAACATCCTTATGCTTCCTAAACTATACTGCCATCACAACACGGGGAACAGACATGTTTTTATTGACTAATAAAATGTTATTAAAGTTCTAAGAAAATTATTATTGACAGTAACAATACAAAGACAATATAAAAGCATAAAAAGAGCGATGAACAACCTGCTTTACAAAAAGCTGGAACCTGACACTAAGGCTTTCCCTGCAGATGGCCTCCTCCAGGACTTTCTCTCAAAAATAAGAAATACTCATTACAGTTTGATGTGAGTGTGTATTTGTATCCACAGATCTTTACGTGAAGCTCTACGTGGTCAATATTGCCACCCAGAAAAGGATCATCAAGAAAAAGACCAGAGTGTGTCGTCACGACCGCGAGCCGTCCTTTAACGAAACCTTCCGCTTCTGTATGAATCCAACCGGACATTCGCTACAGGTAGCTAACGTGCACACAAACACAGGAGTCATAGCTGCAGAATATAGACACTCTGTAATCATCCATATGCTGACCAATTAACAATGTGAATGTAGTTATTCACTGGCTTGCCAGGAGGTAGACGTCAAGATTGAACTCACTCTCGTGTGTGTGAATGTGAAGCTAAATGTTTAGCGTAAAGACTGGGAATCAGGAAGCAGCAGACTTGACAAGTAGAAAGAAGAAAGAAACATCAAATTTCTGCTTGATCATTTTTGATTTGCCTGAAATTGTTTATAGCCCTAAAAATGGATATTTAGAAGATAATTGTTCGATTTTAGTTTGATATATGAAATACTTTCCAAGTAAAACACATTTTTATGACACAGTCTTTTATATTTTAAGTATTATAGATGTTTTTTTTTGTTTTTTTTTACATTATTGTAACATGCAACAACAGGTTCAGGAAATATCACTGGCTGACTTCTGCATCATCGACTTTTTTGTTAATGTGTGTTTAAAGATGGGACTTTTCATGAAAACTTCCATATTTTCATAATTCAACTCACTGATAATCAAAAACTATCAGATCTATTGCAGATAAAGTATCAATGGTATGATGAGAAATAACAGTAAAAAAATGTCAGGCTTTTGTCTTCAATAGTTCCTGAGATATTGTCATCCAAATGTAGCCTCAGATTTCAATTGACTGAAAAATGGGTCCATTGGCAATTTCTATCTTAAATTTGGAAAGTATTTGATATATCAATGTAAAATTTCACAGATAACATTTTAAATTTCTGTAGTTTATGATAAAAACAAAAAAACAAAACAAAAAAAAGTTTGAAGCAACTCAGAGGTGATGGAGCAGAAGGCCCCTAATGATTGGAGATGGAACAACCTTTTAGTACATGCTTAAAGTTCAGTTCAATTCAGTTTTATTTATGTAGCACAATTCACAACATATGTCACCTCACAGCGCTTAACGTAGTAAGATGAAAGGGGGAAAGGAGAGAGGGGGAAACAAAACCTCAGACAGAACCAGGCTCAGGAAAGGTGGTCATCTGCCTCAGGGTGAGAGTGGAGATGGGGGCTTGGGGATAGTAGGGTAGCAGATGGAGAGCAAGCAATACAAACAGAACAATAAATATTTTTGGAGGTCGGTGAGGCCAGCAGCTGCAGATCTGGGACGTGAAGCTCCAGATCCAGAGACGTCCGCAGAGAGAACAAGCACAGAGTTAGTGATATGTAATGGTGATGTATAAATGTATGGAAGAAAGAGAAGGGAGCGTCGAGGATAGGAGCTCAGTGCATCACTGGAATCCCCCGGCAGTCTAAAGCAGGGGTGTCCAGTCTTGGTCGTCGAGGGCCACAGTCCTGCATGTTTTAGATGTTTCCCTCTTCCAAAACACCAGATTCAAATGATCAGGATCGTTATCAGACTTCTGCAGAGCTTGATGATGAGCTGATCATTTGAATCAGGTGTGTTGGAAGAGGGAAACATCTAAAACATGCAGGACTGTGGCCCTCGATCACCAAGATTGGACACCCCTGGTCTAAAGTATAACTTAAAACATGTGCTATCTTTTGTGAACGTACTATATTTGCTCAGATACTGAATCATATGACATGCTACTTCTTGTCGTCTTCACACCAGCTGTTCCTGGTGTCCAACGGGGGCAAGTTTATGAAGAAGACCCTCATCGGGGAGGCCTACGTGTGGCTGGACAAAGTCGACCTACGCAAGCGAGTGGTGAGCTGGCACAAGCTGCTCGCCAGCACCGCCCAGATCCACTCATAGGAGGAACTAAAGTCACCCTGAGAGGCAAAGAGGCTTCTGAAATCTACTACTTGGGTTCAACACGTGTAACACTGATCCACTTGTCTCGGGGGTCGGGGCGAAGGGTGGTTTGGGGGAGCGCGAGAGGTAAAATATCTCTTTCTTCAACCTTTGTTTCAGGGCTCAGATAGCTTGAGTTTTTGGAAGATGCCTTCAGATGGTGATTTCTGTAATGTTTGGAGGGAGCAGTGATGTGTTTACAAGACATGAACACATGTTTACAGGACGTACAGTGTACAGTAGTGTAGCCGGGGCTGAGGAGAACACAGGTGCTGAGTTCAGAGGTGAAGCGCGGAATCAACCAGGTATTACACACTTTAATCCACAAACACACACACACACACACACACACGGTTACTTTCGACAACTTTGCACACAGTCATTCACACAGAAGAGAAACCTTAATAGATACAGGGAATGGACACACTTGTAGATTCTAGTTTATTTATTTAGATGTTTTATCCATGAAAGATTCTTTAAAAAAAAACGGGCGCTCCTCATTGCTTTATTATGATCAGCCAGATTTTATTGATTTACAAAGCATTTTGGGAATGAAATATTGAAGACTCTGCTACAGAGGCCTCTTATTTATTTTTGTATTATGATATTAGCCTAGAGTTCTATCATTTGTCTTCTCCTCAATTATTTAAGTACTTTAAAAATCTATCCTGGGAAGGAAGTATATTTTCTAACACACTACCTAGCATTCCAATTCAAGTGAAAAGAAAAATATCAGCAAGCATGTTTTTGAATTTATGAACAAAAACTACTTGTTCCCCACCCTTTCACCTGAGTTTTATCAAATGACAATTATTGTTTGATAAATATGAATATATATTAAATTGGACACTATATATATTGTGCGCATGAGTTTATCTATTGGTATGCAGTGCCACATGTTCTGCACACACATAAAAAAAACACTTCTATGGTTCACTTTGTATATAGTAATAGCTGGATATTAATTTTAACATATATAAATAGATATATAAATATCTTTATCACAGACAATCGAGTCTTGATGATTGTGACTTAGAAGTTTTATTTACCCATGATGCCCCTTAGAATGTGAGACATTTACCATATGAGATTTTTTTCTTTGTGAGATCCCAGCACAGTCTTACGTCCGTCTCGCTTTGGTTCATAAGGGCAGTCGACTCACCAACGCACGCTTTTGTGGTATTTTGCACTTTTTCTGCTTAGAATGTAAAAACCGACATCATCATCATCATCATCCTGCTAAACATTTTTATTTTCAAGGTGAGGAAAGAAGAGAGGTACAATAAAGCAGCATCGGGAGATGTTGTAGCGAACAAAAGACAAACGTTCCAGAAGCTATCCATTAAAAAAAAAAGCACTATTACCATCCTGAGATACCGCTATTGCAGTAGCATGTTAAAGTTTTTTTCATTTGTCTCGATATTACCGTTTATGCGTTAATTTGTCTGTGTCTTTAAAACTCTGTGATGAGAAAAGTGTGCTTGTACGGGGGGTCAAGAAACAGTACAAATGGTTCATTCAACATTTTCAGTCAAACCTCGCAGTGAAACTACACTTAATATCTGAGTGATTTCTATGCAACATCTACTATATTAAAAAAAAACGGCAGCGGCTGCATCTTGACTTGCCAGAAACGTGACACTTGGTCAGGAGAGGAAGCATTTATATTGATTTATTTTAATTTTGCACTGCTGTGTGTTCACGAAATGGTTACTGCTTTAATATTTTTTTACATTTTGATTTAACGTGTGATTTTTTTTGTATTGCTCTTTGAATCTTTTATTTATTGCCTGTGAGACTGTTTTCATATGTTGTATTATATTTGTTTACAGTACATATCAGGTGTACAGGAGAAGAAGAAAAAAAGTTTTGTTTTTATACACAATGTAGTGCTTGTTTACAATGTTTAGAGGGCCTGAAACTCAGAGAACCAACTTTTTTGCCCTTGTGCACGAACACAAACACACATACACATGCGATAAGTGTCAATTCCACGTAGCGATGAATCAAGTTAACGAAAAAAAGAACATTCCTACTCAAACGATTTCCATCTTTTTATGCACTTCCCCTTTGAATGGCTTCATTTTCCATGTGTATGACCAAAAAAAAAGAACATTGTAATCAACAGACACTATACCTGAACTGACAGTAGTTTTGAGGTCAATGTGAGTGGGTTTTTTTGGTTTGTTTTTCCTAATTTGATGTGCTTCATTCCAAGTCCACGCATGTCATTGGCTCAGATGCATTTCTCTTCTTTTAAGTGTTGTCTGTCGAAAAATATCAAGTCTAAAATCTCTCGTTAAACACACTTATACACACTCACACACACACTCACACACACACAGATGCCATCTCTCTATTTCCAACCTTGTAAATACATAGTTTTTTTATGCTGGGGTTTGGGGGAGCAATAGGTCTTTTAGCAGACAAAAAAAAAAAAGAAAAAAAAAGGTGTGTGATCATAGAAGTAAACAGGAAGTTGTTTTTTTCTTTTGATCACTGTACAGCGGATAGACTTGAGAAAGGAGCTTACGTCTGTCTGTAGGGACCCAGATTTACCCGACCCTTTACACCAAACAATAAAAAGTTTACCAGAGTCTAACACAGAAGTCTATCTTAAACAACTCAAGTAGTTGCAGGAGAATTTAAATGTGCTCACACTGGATGTTGCATGTTTCGTTGGTGGTTCATACTATTTTTGTGTCCAGATATTATTAAAGAAAAAACAAGATGGAGGTAGAGGAAGATATAGAACAAAAATGTTATAGAGGAGGAAATTATGGAGAATAAATATTGATGATGTATGCTGACTGTACAAAGATTATGCTTGTAAAACCTGTCTGGTTTTTCACTTGTAAGTAAAACAGAAAAAAATCTACTGTCATGGTTTTGTGATTGTATACAGGAGGTATTGATAAATTATGCAAAATGTGCTGTAAAAATGGCTGTTGCCCCATGTCTAAATATTAAATATCAGTACAAATGAAGCATTGTTGTTGTGCATTGACTTTAACACACACTGCATGTTGCTTTATAGATCACAACACAGTTTTGTTTTTATACTTTCTGATGGGTTTTCTTTCACTTTAAACATCTTCTGGGAGGTTTCAGAGAAGTGACAGAATATAGCCACTAGATGGTGCTGTGTAGATTTTATTTTAACCAGTATTCAGGCAGTGGCAAGTCAATGCTGCATTTAATGAAAACTGGGAACTAGGAATGTCTAATTAGCAACTAGAGAAAAAATAAAAGAAGAAGACCTAAATTGTACACGATTGCAAACTTGTTCACTCATTCACTACCCCACTATCTAATGTTCGCTATGTAGAAAACTTGGTCAGATCACTACTACTTGGATGTAACACATAATTATAAATAGATTCATACACATATTAGTGATTATCTCTGTAGCATAGACACAATGTCTGCACCACAAAGTTGCTATTTTGGGATAATTATTGGCTAATTATTGGAGAGTTTAATTCACATTTGTCGCCACAACATTTTTAAAAAAGTGCACACTTTGTTTACAACATACTCTGACAACAGTAGAACCTCCTACACAAGCATGTTGGAGACTGTAGATGTAAAAATGACATCATGTGTTAATTTTTAATATTGTGAATCAATGTTACCAGTAGCCCTGTGATAGACCGGTGACCTGTCCAGAGTGTCCCCTGCCTTCACCCTAAGTCAGCTGGGATAGACTCCAGCCCCCCACGACCCCAGTGAGGATTAAGCGGTGTATAGATGATGGATGGATGGATGTTACCAGTGCATTTAAAAGCAGTTGTAGCTCCTCCATAAGCTAGCCACATAACATATTTTAAAGCTTATATAAAGCAACTGAATTCTCAAATATGGTTCATGCAGATGTGTAAATAATACCTGCTGCTGTTCAGGCTGATGAGGAGTCTCTGCAAGACAGAGAAACCTGAGCGGTGTTATTATCACCAGGAACTTAAATTTTTTATTTGCATTATTTTTTAAACGAATCTTATTACAATTTCTCGTAAAGATATACCAAAAAAAAAAAAAAAAAAAAGGCAAGGCACAGAGTATGACTGACAATTATGTGCAAACATCAAATTTTAATTAATAATAATTAATTCAAAAATAAAATGTACTAAAAGATCAAGAACATTTAAGCAACATGGCAAATGTTTTCTACAGTCTAATTGGATTAAAATAATAATAATAAAAAAAGATTCAAGCAGGATAAAAACATTTTGAATTCATTTTTAAAACAGCTTAAATCTGGCAGTTTTTTTTTTTCATTTATTTTTATCTTCTTCTTCTTCTTCTTCTAATAAATAACTGAGCTCTCTCTACCTCCACTTCCGCCTTTCTCTCCCAAGTTACCGCCAAACGTATGTAAGTACAACTTTTAACGAGTTTAACGTCTCAAATATCAGACGACATACCTTTGCTCCCTTCTTTGCTCTTCTGTTTCTTCATTTAAATGAGCTATTTGCCTGTTGCTCGAGGTGTATTCGCAGAAAAGCTAAAGTGAACAAAGCTAAAGCTATTTGTTGGCTAAGCTAAGAGTGTGTACACAACCATGGAGGTGTTGTCACTTATGTTGGCTGGTTGGTCCTCTGTCAGACGGTGTGTTGGTGCTTAGATGAAGCCTGTAGGAAGGTTTTTCTGTCACTTGGTCCAGCACCAGGTGTGTGTATAAGCAAAACTCCGGTTGTCATCAGTTCGTGTTTGGCCCACTCGGGATATAAGTTTATTATTCCGGTGACGAGTGGTTAAAGTAACGCGGTTTGGGACATGAAGGTCGGAGGTTCGAGTCCCGTGGCGGCACTGGGATACAGTGTGTGGCTTTATGATTAGCGGTGTGTTTACTCGTGACTTTAATGCCTGTCCATGGTGCCTACATTTACCAGGTGATGCCCTTGATTCCCTCCCAAGAGGTTTTGAAGGACAGTAGCGGTTATATTGACATAATGGAGGTGTAAGTGCAACTTTGCTCCATTTGAACAGCTTCAGAGCTTCAGAGCTGACCTACTTCTAAATGCACAACCATCTTTGACCCACTGACTTTATGAACTGGTATAACAGAGTGAACTGTTACCTGTTATCCTTATTGAATTCAAACACACACACACACACACACACACACACACACACATACATATATGGACAAGCTTTCTAACGCTCTATACTCACATGGTGCTTGAAAGTTTTTGAGTAATTTTTAATTTTCTTTTTTTCTTTACAAATATGACCTAGAACAACATCATATTTGCATTGTCCTATAATCAGCTAAAGAGAAACCAATTAAATTCTTCACTGAACACCTTTGCACTTGACTGCCTGAAAACAAACAAAACAAACAAACAAACAAACAAACAAAAAATCCTATTACCTCCCACACAGCCTGCTACTGGCATCAACGCCCTATCACACTTCAATTTGTTCTATGGCTCTTATCTAGATTGTTTTCTCCTGATTAGATCCTTGCTCGTGTTGTATCTATTCTTAGATGTACGTCACTTTGGATGAAAGCGTCTGCTAAGTGAAATTGTGGTATTATAGAATTGTAAATAAGACAAAAACACAACACTTGGTTAT